CCTGCTCTTTAGCATGACTCCGATCCACTCTCTGATGCCTCTCTCAATACCTAGCAAGTTGAGGGAGTCCAGGATAGAGTCGGGGTTCACGTTATTGAACGCGCCTTCTATGTCTAGGAAGGCTGCCATCGTATATTGTTTGTGTTGTAATGTCTTCTCGACATGATGTACAACTACGTGTAGCGCTGTTTCCGTTGATTTTCCTCTGCGGTACGCATGCTGCGCGTCCGAGAGTTGATGTCCTTCTAGAGATTCTCGGATGTGGACGTCCAGCAGTCTCTCTAGTGTCTTCAGGGCGAAGGAGGTGAGACTTATCGGTCTATAATCCTTTGCTAGGATATGCCCCCTTCTGCCCGGTTTGGGTATGAAAATGACTTTAGCCTCTCTCCACAACAGTGGGATGTGCGTCAGTCTTAAACATGCTTCGTAAATGGCTTTTAGCCATTTGCAGATGCTATCCTTGGCTGATTGTAGCATTGCCGGTATTAAGCCGTCTGGGCCCGGGCTTTTAAATTTATCGAAAGAATCTATTGCCCACTGAATTCGCTCCGTGGTAATGATGTCTTTCGTAGGTGTATCCATTTGAGAGTTCGTTCCCCCTCGGGTTCCGAGATCACTCTTAGGTTTCCTGGGAAGTGGGTGTCAACTAGTAGCTCTAGTGACTCCTCAATTGTCGACGTAGCAGAGCCGTCTGCTCTGTTGATCAAGGTAGGGCTTATGTGCCCCTTGGCGAGGATTTTGCTTACTCTCGCCGTGTCCTTTATGCCTTCCAGTGACTCGCAGTATTTCTGCCAGGACTCTTTCTTGGCCTTGTATACTGCCTTCTTGTAAATTTTTTGTGCTTCTTTGTATGTTCCCCAGTCCCGGGTTACATAGCTGTGGTTAAAGGCCTTTCTCGCGCTCTTCCTGAGCTCGCTTAATTCCTTTGTCCACCACGGTGGGTATTGCCTCTTCGAGAATGTTAGCTTACAAGTCTCTTTGAAGGCGTTGTTCAGAATGTTAGTTAGGTCCTCGACTTCCTTGTCGAGTGCCTTTGCAGTGGATATGGTCTTGATCCTTCTGCCGTTAACTTTATATCGGACAATCTCGCTGAAATTGTTCCAATCCGTCTTATGGGGGTTCCTTCTTGGCACCTGTTTCTTAACTGGTGTCGTTAATTCAAAGAAAATATACCTATGGTCTGAGAAGGAGTGTTCTGTCGATACCCTCCAGTTCTCGACCCTGTAATTGTCCTGCTCTATATGTAATGTGAGGTCTAACACCTCTTCCCAACCTTGAAAATTTTCCGTACTCGGAAAGATGAAGGTCGGCGTATTGCCCTTATTACATATTGTTACGTCTCTACAGATAATATTATCAAAGAGTGACTCACCTCTTTCGTTAGTCTCCGAACTCCCCCAGAGCGTGTGTCTTGCGTTCGCATCACACCCGAGCACCAGGGTCGTCTTCGTCACTTCCGCCCATTGCAGCAGCTTGACTACCGGCTCAGGCGGGGCCGGCTCGTCATGGGCCATGTACGCCGATGTTACGATGACTCCGCTCCCATCCGCCGCCACGAATCTGGCCACTGCTAGGTCAGGTGTGCTGAGGTTGGGACAGAGAAAAGCATTAAAGTGATTCTTAATTACAATGCAAGCTCTCGACCTACCATTCGAGTTTGCGCACAGTAGTGTGTATCCTTGGATTCTCAGTCCAGCGACTTGCCCGTCCCTGGTCCAAGGCTCCTGTATCAGACCGATGTCGATATCCTTCTCCCTTAGAAGGATCGTGAGATTAGCTGAAGCGTGCGAGCTGCGCTTCAGGTTAATCTGCACGATTCTCGACATCGATGTTGGTGGGGGTGGCGTCGGGAGATTTGTCGTCGATGACCATGTCGTCCAACAATTTGTTGGTGTCATCGACCTCCTCCAGAATCTCGTCCGGCTCGGCCAAGAAGACCTTGATCTTGGCCTTCCTGATGCCGTACCTGACCTTGTGGTCCATTGCCTCCAGCTGGGGCAGACAGCGTTGGTTGATCAGCAGGAGGAAAGGTTGACTCGCCTTCATCTCCTGCTCTGCTCTGAGGATGGTCCAGTCCTCTGTATGGATATCTGGGTTCTGGGCCTTCAGACAGGCGATCACCCTTGCATGGTCAGTTTGGCCCTTAGGTAACCAGATGCGAGCTCTGGGTCTCCTTGGGATCTCCCTGGCGTGGACTAGCCTAATCTTAAGGCCAGCCCATGTGTCGCTAATCTTTGCCACACACTCCGCCAGGAAGCTTCGGGAGAACCCGTCGTCGCACCTGATGACCCGGTGCCCTCTGACCACGTCTGAGGAGTCGAAGGAGGGGATGGGGCCGGTCGGCATGCTGACCAACCTGTCGGTCACCATGTCGGCCAACTTGGCCTCGATCTCCTCCCACTTCTCCGACAGCAGGCGACCGTCGTCATGGAGCTCGTCCACCAGTGCCATAGCCAGACTGTCTCTGGCCACCTCGCTAAACTTCTTTGCCTGGCTGACAAAGTTCGTCGCACGCGGCTTGCCCTGTGGGTCCTTCGCTCTCTTAGGCGCGCTTTCGCTCACTTCCTGTGAGCGAATTCGCTTCGCCTTCGAGGGCTGGAACGCCGCCGGGTTTGCCGCTTTGTAGTTCTCGTATTCCGCGATCTCCGCAAGGAATTTGGCTTTGTCCTCGGCATCCCGAGGGTCGGTTTTGCCCTCAGCCTCGTTCTTGGCTATCTTGCCGAGAACGAAGCGGGCTCTGTTAACCCTCGCTCGTCTCTGATGGTGAGACAATTTCGTAATCTCTGAGGTGGTGCTCAGCTGAGCCCCACCTGTGTGTTTCGGTTGGGGAGTGCTACTCGCTCTCCCCTCGGATTGCGACGCTTCTTCGTCGGTCTCCGATACAATGTGAGATGCAGCGACCAGTCTCGGCCTCTGCATCTCCTTCTCGTCCTTCGTTGACAGTTTTTGGGGTTTATCCTCTCCCAGGAGTTCCGAAGCTCGGTTTGTAGAAGTCATAGCATGTCATGATCGCCCGCTTTGCTCGACCTGGCAAGCGCAGCGGGCCAGAGGGGGTTTGGGGCTTTGAAAAGAGGTCGACCGCAGCTTCGCCCCAAAACTGCGGCAAGGCCACTTACGACCCAGGGTTGCCTGGCCCTGGGAAGGCTCCGTGCAGACACAGCTTGGAATTACCCCTCAGCTGCGAACCTGGAAGTCAGTGTGCACGGGTCGCATCACACACCTGACTTGAGGGGAGGCTTGATTAAAGACTGCCTAAGTCCGCCCGACTACAATTGGTCAGCATCCCCGGTCGAGCCTCGACTGGGGACCTGCTTCCAGCCGCCCTCGCTTGGAGAGTATAGTCGCACTACCGATGGTGTACACAGTTACGGCAGATGACACAGTCATCCGTTGATCCCCCTGTGCACCCTATCGGCTGACGGCCATATACAGTATGTATAGGTCAATGTAATTTCCTTGTATTGTAAGAGAAATTAATATAATTTATATTATACTCTTTATTTGTGATCCAATTGCAACCTGTATGGGTATACAATCTTCGGCGTGCCAAAGTTAGAATCCATTCTATTTATTTTTAATTGTTTGTTTTTATAAAATATATTATAAATTTGAACATTCGCCGAACAGGACCTAAAAACAACAAATTTAAAATGGAACTATTTCATTATACAAATTTGAATCTGAAATTGGAATATCTATCTAACTTGCTTTCATAAGTAAATTTGAATGAGAACTGAAATAATTTTGAATAATTTATCTATAAGTATTTTTATTTAAAAAAAAATTTACTAGTATGGCTTCATTACGGTTTTTAATGATTTATGACGTAATGTCCGTGACCAAATTTAATATGAAAGTCTGTAATTAATTTTGGGAGTGGTTAGAGCTCTCTTAAAGTCTCTGAGATCTATATCTATATATATATATATAAATATATGGGCAATTCTCTGGTGTCGAATGGGACATTCGTACGCATTCAAACTAAAAAAAATACATCTGCCAAGACTTTATTTTAAATTTATAAAAATTGAAACGTATAGCTCTTGGTTAGCACTATAATTGGTGCTAAGGTCGATTTTGAACCCTTGTTTGTTTTCAAGATATTCACTAAAATGAACTGCGTTCGCACGCGACAAAAATAGAAGTTACATTTGCAAAAAACCAGTTTAAGCTCTGCTTTCAGCGAAACGTGATGAAAAATTGTAGTAAAATAAATTTTAATGAATTACGCAATGAATTCTCTTAATAATGTATTTTGTTTGATTTTAAAATATTAAGTAGTTATTTTTTAAATTCAATTTTAGTCCCGGTCGCACGCGACATTTTGGAAAGCGATAATTTAAATTAAAACTGTACGACTATTGGTAATCGCATATGTTATTTTGCATTTTATATTGACTCTTTGGGTTTTTTATGTCATATTAGAAACCAAAATTCAAAGCAAAATGCTTCGGTTTAAGAGATTGGCATCAAAACAAAACATGCCATTTTTTATGCCTCTTTTGATAAAAACAACATTATTTGCGTTTGAGCGTGTTTGACATCGATTTTTTTGAAACTTATTTTAGAAAATGAAAAATTCTCTTAGTCTTGATCATCCTGACCAAGTTTTTGGCCGCGGTAGACCTTTCTGGAGAATTGCCCATATCCGAAATCTAAACCAACTCAACAGGTGATGCTAATCACCTGACTTAATGGGGTTGCAGATGCCTCTTTCTTTCTGCTAGGTACTTACATTTTCGATTCACACTAATCTATAATACCCTTGTACCCTATGGGTACAAAATCGAAATTTTACCATAGTCGCCGATTTTCTTAGTTGCTACTTAGTTAAATAAAATAAAATATTCCGCTTTAATTTGCAGATCTACTATCTTAAGCCAATGTCAACTTTTTTATATCACACGTAAGTTCGGGGGCTCATTTTTATAAAATATACCACTCACTCACCGATACGCCAACCTTTATATAGTTTTCTAGACAATTAGAAAATACAGTTCTTTGACTTTTTAAATATGTATATTTACAGTTATTAACTAAATAAAGCATCATTTTCAATTAGATGTAAGGACTACAACAGAAAGAATGCATCTATTTAAAGGCTCTCTACTTATTCTCATATTGCCTGGAAGGTATTTTTCTTATATATTTTTCTCATTATTGTTACATCATTATACATTCCAGGAGCAGGGTCGGCGGTGTACGCCGCAAGCAAGCGTAAATCTTCAGACACTACAATGGAAACACACGAAGCGGCATTTACAAAAGGGGGACATGACTTGGGGAAGAAAGATTACTGGTTACGTACTTGAACATGGTTGGTTACTCATACAAAACATGGGAGGAGTAAATCGTTAGATCATTCGTTTAAATATCAAAAAATTCATGTTTGTTGTTAGATGTAGAAACACTGTCTATGCCGTCGAAGACGTGGATGGGACATCATCTAGGTTGATAAGTAAAGCAGCACCACCAGTTGAGGGATCAACCTCGGTTCCGACGTCTTTAGGCGGTGGTGCCGGCATCGGAATTGCGATGTTACTCATAGTGCTGATCATGCGCGGCTCTGCTCGCGATTTTGTGATGGGCAACTGGTTGACGTTGCTGCTTGTTGACTTTAGGAATTCTGGCTGTGGTGTCTGAGCAGGGCCAGGACCATGACTATGACCGTGGCCGTGTCCTGCCACGTGACTGTGACTGTGTCCAGCTCCATGGGCGTGAAACTTGTGCTGTTGGTGCATGGGATTTTGATGATGATGTTGGTGATGTTGGTGTTGCAACTGCTGTTGCTGTGGGAAGGACTTGGGCAGCTGTGAGTGTCGGGTGGCGTCCGTGGCCTTTAATCGTTCGCTTAAAGCCTTTAAAGCGATTTGCCTAAAAAAGAAAAAAATAAATCATTAATTACGACGATCGTTTATTTTGCAAAGTTTTACTTACCGTCTTCGTTCAATATCGTGCGGATCAACGCCTGGCATTTGCACCGAGATCGATGTAAGGCTAGATGCAGATGCCGTCCGTAGCGGCGTGGGTGTTTTTACCACACCCGCACGCAAACAGCAATTATAAATGGGATTAACCAGTATACTGATAAACGGCTGAGCGACGTTCGGGAAGAAGCTGACGAATGTAAAGCTCTCCGAACTGTCACCACGCCCATTCGGATGGTGTTGGTAGAATCGCAGATAGATCCAGGAGACAAGCGATCCGGAAGCAAACATTGCCGGGTATGTACCATCTAACATGTTCACTGCCCACAAGATTATAGCCATGATGAGCACGGTAAGGGGAACGTTCCTTGAAAATTTAATAAATAAATTGTAGGGGATATTTGGTATGTCATTTAAATTAGTTAATCAATGCTGAATGTATATAATGTTCGAATAAAGTCATAATAACAGCAATTTAATCATTTTAATGCAGATCAGATGCGGTTGTAAAACTGAAGGACTTTAAACGAAAAGGAAGTCTGTCACATCGACTGATCACGAAGTTTCGACTTTTCTTTTATACCAAATATTGATTTTTATAACCATGAACATTATAGTACGTGCATGGAGCAGCGGTCTCACCTATTGGTTAGACGTCCGTAGCGCGTCTTGAAGATCAGATGATCGGGCATTATCTGGCGGACGGCCACACAGATACCGGCCACATAGCCTGCCAGTCCGTGAATGTGGACCTCGAAGAGAATAGTGGGATTCTTGGTGACCATGTAGTAGAATAGGTAGTAGACGGTGGTCAATAGCGAGACGCCGAAGTTGCTCAATGCAAAGAACTTGAACATTTCGAGCTGACCCCAGAGAGGCTCCAGCATTTTCCCGCAGAGGCCAACGGTGACCACGTCCACTGCTACCTCCCACCAGTGCAGCTCAATGAAGCAGAACGTGAAGGCGGTCCATATCCAGAACTTGCCGTTCGGCAGAATATATCCAGGAGTGACGCTGAGCAGCAGGATGGCTGTCTCCGAGTAGGAGAGCAAGTAGCCGAACGTAGTTACAACGCAGATCAGCGTGATCACCGGCGAGGTGTTATGCAGCAGGGCGTTCAGTTGTTGCCATATGTACGGCCAATTTCTGGCCAGTGGAGCTGACATGGCAGCGGTCGTCACAGTGTTGCGGCGGCGGCTTCTGCAGATTGCACACGTTTATCTCCTCGTCCTCGTCACTCCGAGTCACCTGTAAGCGGCGGCCGGGGTTAAATGCACTTGAGGGCGTCTGTGCCTTGCAATTCAACACGTTGGGGGAACGTCAAAGTGGCTCATTTGCTAATATTTACGATTTTGCTTGCTTTTGCTTTTCATTTTGTTGTTGTCTCAGCAGGACCAGTCGCTGGTCCAAAAATAATACCATTGGTATTATTCCATACACAGTCATACTGAACGATATATGCTATCGACAATCGACATTTGAATCGGCAGCGTAATGACTATTTTCAATTCAGCAAATATTATATAGCATGATAAGGAAAGTCATTCCGAACTTTATTTTCTCTTGCAGTTTGCAATTCGACTTAACGCATAATTTAAAATGCAAAATATCTTTCTTTTAAGTACTTTGAAAATTTACAAACGAAGTCGATTTCTCCCATTAATTTTTCGATTGGAGTTAAAAGCGTAAGATTTCAATTATGTCCCACATTATATATGTATGGAAGTCTATATATTTTCATATATGTACCTATATATGAACATGACTATTACTTATAATTTATAGAGTATAAATTACTACAATAAACCCCAGTGTTACTCACGTATATTATGGTAGCACCACTTCAATGTAAATGAGGGCTTCAATACAAAATTTTACGCATCACCAAATAAAAAACTAAGAGTTCATTTAAAAAAGGTATCTAATTTACTTTTTATTATGACAATTTATATGCATGTGTTCGTTTGATGTACACTTTCGATTTAATAATTTCATTGTCGCCATTCATGTTTTGTTTCTCCTTTAATTATAATTCAATTGATTTAAAATTAAAACAAGTGATTGCATTAAAATTCAATCAATTCACAGAAATATTGAACTTAAGCAACGTAGTCTTACATTTGAATAAAACTAAAGACTATTCAAAATAAAGTTTTTATGTAGGCTTCTTCTGTTTGTTTCGGGAAAATGAATATAGCAGCCAAACGCCTTAAAATGTACGCATATTGCGGGGGTCTGGTGGACGCACAAAGAAAAATGACAGAAAAACAAAACGCAAAATTTAGTTTGTTTTTTAATGGGAGCGAGTGCGAGCTTGTGAAAGAACTATGATGAATGGATTGGATCGCGGGTGTTAACTTCTCCCACTGCTTAGAACAGCAGCGTACCCATGCCGCCCATTTCGGACTGTTCCTTAACGAAAATCTCAAAGTACTGGTAGATGATGGTAACCGCCAGCAGGATACCCGTTCCGGAGCCGATAGCGCCCAGGAAATCGGCCATCACAGACAAGGCTCCAATGCAGAGACCACCGAAAGCTGCCGCCGTCGGGATGTAACGGTTCAGCTCATGGATCATGGAGTTCTCGCGATGTCCGCGCATCACCATGTGCTGCTCCTTGAGCTGCTTGGCAACCTAGAGGAGAGTAATAATAAAAGTAAAATTTGACAATGTTTAGATAAGTTCAAAGTATGAAAAGAATTTTTTTCGAAAGTTCTAAAAGATCTACTTACATCCTTGGCTGAACTGCCAGACACATCGATCCACGTCTTCGAGAAGAATGCACAGGAGCCGAGCATGAAGACGATGTACAGCAGGGCGTGGATTGGATCAGTCAAGATGTGACCCACGCTCTCTGGGGGCGACAAGTAGTAGCACAGTCCTCCAATGGGGTACGAACGGGCGGGGCCACCACCACCGACATCGGCCCACACACCCAGAAGGTTAATAAAGAAGTTGCCCTGGAACTTAACAGCCAGCATCTGGGAGATGACGTACAAGTTGGACACGAGCGCGGACTGCAGGATGATGGGAATGTTGGAGGTGTAAAACAGCTTAATGGGGTAGCTGCTGTATTGGCCACGGTAGCGGGCACTCTTGATGGGTAGGTCGACACGGAAGCCTTGGAAGTATATCACCACAGCGAACACCAACACGGTGGCGAGCAGGTTCATCAGATTGGGCAGGTTCTGGCGGTAGAAGGCCTCACGCAGAGCGCGCACCTTATCGTTCCTGGTGGCCATCAGGTGGAACAGGGCAATCACGGCGCCCTCGAACTCGGTGCCACGTCCTGTCGTAACGGTGGTCGGGCTGAATGCTTTCCACACGATAGTCTCGCAAATATTGGTGGCGATGAAAAGGGAAATACCAGATCCCAAGCCGTAACCCTTCTGTAGCAGCTCATCCAGCAGAAGGACAATCAACCCAGCAGCGAACAGCTGGATGATAATCAGCAGGCAGACACCGGCTCCAATCTCAGACGGATCGCCGTACATGCCAGTCATAACATAAACGATTGCCTGGCCGATGGTGATCACCATGCCGAACAATTTCTGTGCGCCGTTGAACAAGGCCCGATCCTTGGGTGTGTCACCGACTTCAATGATCTTCGCTCCGGCCAGCAGTTGCATGATTAGACCCGAAGTCACGATTGGAGAGATACCCAGCTCCATGAGGGTGCCACGGTTTGAGGCCAGGATGACGCGAATCCAGTAAAAGGGATCCGCGGAGTCTGAGCTCATGATGCCAAAAAGCGGGATTTGACAGCATACCAGGAAAATGAACAGTGTGATCGCAGTCCATAGCACTTTCTCCCTGAATTGGATCTAAAAAACACAGTGTTGTTTTTATTAAAACCTTTTAGAAAAAATAATTTTGTTTTACTTTGTTTTTAACAATCGAATGTTGACTATCTTAAATTATATTCCAATTCGACTTTTATGTTAAATCTAACAAGTCTCACTTTAAACTAGAAAAAGTCAAATTATCACTTTATTGACCTACATGTGCGATTTGCTATATGTACATACATATGTATTTAATTTTTAAACAAATCCAAGTTAACTTCGTTGTCGGCACATCATATGGTGAGCCACAAAAACAAACGAAGCTGACGTCGACAGTGCTTCGGGTTGTCAGTTTCGGGAACCGAAGTTTGACATTTCCACGTAGCGTTTGTTTGTCACTGTGCCGACATATAATGTGCCTGTGTGTGCGTGTGTGTTAAATAGGAGTATGGCAACAAGTAGCAGGGTGATAAGAAAAGTAGTAGAAGAAATCAAGCTGAATTTGTCAAAAATTATGAATGAAAGTCTTAAGAAATCACAAAAATAATATCCAAAGGGGTATCCTAGATAACATAATGAACCTATAAAAACAAGAATTCAAATATATTTTGGCTGGAGACCAGTGGTAGTTTTGGTTTAACTGGAGCCCAAACTGTTTGCGTGGCGATGTTCACATTTTTGTACAAGTGAAAGCCACCACCAAATGCGTGTGCTGGCAACACTGGCAGATACGAGTAGGAGAAAATTATAACAAATCAGAATGGAATAGTGCATAGTTACTCAATCAAATGTGGACATTTACTTAACGCAGACTCTGGGAGCTACCTACTTAAGCCGAGACTTTCGATTTATATTAAAGTACAGATTTATACACACCTTACGCTCGGGTTTTGCGATTTCCGGCAGTATACTGCAGAAGGGTTTAATTACTTCCAGGAATTTTACTGCAAATGGTGGATGAAATGAACTTGAATTAGACGGTGTTGTTTTCTTTCACCAGGCGACGGTTTTCAGGCACAATTAAAGGCGCACGCCGAAATCTTTTTGTATACGTAAGCAAAGAGTGACGGGGGTGCAAGCGGCACCGCAAAGGCGGCACTTTCCACTGCTCTTTCAGCTGCTCTTTCCCGATTATCACTGCCCTCAGTCGATTTACTTACTTCCCATTGTGATTTTCCTGAATTAGTGTCTGGGACTTGAATTACTGCACTTCCTATACAAAAATTAGAAAGTCACTTGCGTTCAAACGCCTTTAATTTCAAAAACCGAATGAAAGAAACGAGCGAGCAGCCGACGTCGACGTGTCCAATTTAGAGTGGCTGCATCTGAGCTGTCAATATTCACCCTGGGTGTTGTTATATTATACTATATAATATAGCTGTCATAGAAACTATAGTTAAATGTAGAGTAAAATACCAAACTGTGTATGTAAAATATATATAACTTATGTAGTGAGCTTAATTTAATTTTAAATTGATTTTGAATAAACTTTTTTAGAATACGAAAATGTCGAAATGCTTGGTATTTTTCAGTATTGATATACTAAATGTGTAAAACAACCTTTTTAAAATCTTTCTTAGAACGTAAACTCTCTTTCACATAGATATGTCAATGTACCCTTACATTTCCCATTCAGATTATTTTTTTTTTTTGATAATATACATAGTTTATTTGACCTTCTAGCAACACATACTTTCGGATGTCAAGTACCGTACAGAAAGGGCAAAATATAGGCAACTCATTAAGGCAAAAATACTAGAAATTACCGCGTTTATTTTTATACCCTTGCAGGGTATTATAATTTCAGTCAGAAGTTTGCAACGCAGTGAAGGAGGCACCTCCGACCATATAAAGTGTATATATTCTTGATCAGGATCAACAGCCGAGTCGATCTAGCCATGTCCGTCTGTCCTTCTGTCCGTCTGTCCGTCTTTCCGTTTCTACGCAAACTAGTCTCTCAGTTTTGAAGCTATCTGAATGAAACTTTGCAGTTAGCCTTCTATATACTCTCACTCGTATATATGTCGGAACGGGCCGGATCGGACGACTATATCATATAGCTGCCATAGGAGTGATCGGAAAATTTTTACAAAAAAAATTATAACAATTTCAGTTTTCAACAGAATTTGATTAAATTTGAGATTAAATTTGATTAAAATTTTATAAAAATCGGACACCTATATCATATAGCTCCCATAGGAACGATCGAGAAATTAAGACAATTAAAAATTATAACATTTTCAGTTTTCAACAGATTTTCATCAAATTTGAGGTATAGCCATTTTATATCAGTATTAAATTTTGTGTTAAATTGTATGAAAATCGGACGACTATATCATATAGGTGCCATACAAACGATCGTTAGATGTGGAGAAAAATTCACATCTGTGACTGTAAAACTGCAAATATAATATGTAAAGGTGAATGAAATGAAAGCAGGTATTACTTCATTGTTTTTTAACACAAATAAGTATAACTTATATTGTTGGGATACCAAGTCATAGAAGTTCTATCTGCAAGGGTATATAATCTTCGGCGTGCCGAAGTTAGCTTCCTTTCTTGTTTTAATTTAAAATTAAATAAATTAAAGCTGACAACTTAAATGCAGTTTCAATTATAGTGTCTGAGTGCTTTCAGCTGTAGCTATGTATTATCTTAAAAGGTACGTAATTGAAATTTGTTTATAATCATTGTCTTTATATTTTTATTATCAAACAAGAACGACGGGAAAATTAATATTACAAACGAATTATAGCTTAACTGCTTTCCAACATATTTTCATCTATAGCCTTTTTTTGTTACTGTCAAATATCGGCTTAAGTTTTTGGGAAAATCTAACTTAAAACTTTTGGTTAGCACCATAAATAGTGCTAAAATCGATTTTGTTTGTTATTAAGGTATTTACAAAAATTAACAGTATTAGGACGCTATAAAAAAGAAGTCACTTTTTCAAAAATCAGTTCAAGCACTGAGTTCAGCAAAGCGTAATAAAGGAGTTCTATGCAAATAATTTTATTGTATTACCAAAATGTATCCTAAAATTGTATTTTGTTTGACTTAAAAAGTGTTCTTTTAAATTAAAGTTCAATGAATGTCGCACGCGACATATTGTTCCATCATATCTTCTCCATTTATTTTTAAATACATATATGTAATAAGAATGCATAAGATGATTTATAACAGTTTTTATTCAATTAAATGCATATATTTTCAAAGCAAAAAATGTATTAACCTCAAATTCAATAAAGTATGAAAAAACAAGCAAGCTCATCTTACAAATGTAAAACAACGACAGCTAAACAACATTAAAATAGGATTATAAATGTCAACAACTTTTTTCTTTTTTTCTACTACATTATGCAGTTCTAACTTCTTCTACCTTTTGGCCATCACAACGAAATGAGCGAAACTGCAAATTAATTGAAATGATTTTCATGTCCTCCAATTAATCCTTTAACACGTAAATACTAATTAAAATTACGATTTCAGCAGATAACATTAAAAAAATCTAAAATCCATTTACATACATTGTTTTTAGCACATTTAAAAAACTATTCGACCCTTTATCTTCAAATTTTTTACGCAGCTTCGTTATTTCGATATGATTTTTTGTATGTTATAAATTTTTAAAACTGAAATTTTGTATACAAAAATTATGCAAAAACTGTGTTTGTATGGTTTTCGGGCTTCGGATAAGAATTGTGCTGTTCAGCATGTACACCATACTACTGTTCGATAAAAAAGAGTCCTGTTAGACTGGCTATATTTCCGCCTTTTGTGAATATTTTGTAATCTTTCAATAATTATTTTCTAGTTTAACACATTTACTTTGGTATTCCCATTAAAAAAAAGTTGTATTTTTAATACCTTTGGCAAAATTAATGTTTAAAATATTCTGAACGCGGCAAGTTGGCAAATTTGATAGATTCCCAGTTAAAATAAGCTGGCACAACATTCTTTTATTGACTTATATTTTGGGATATGCGGCTGACACTTTTTGGAAATGCCCATATATTCAATTTATATTAAAATCTATTTCATAACTTCCACAAGACAAAATTGTGGGCTCTGGAATCCGGAATTCCGAGCCGGGATGCAGCTTCCTTCTTGGCGGATGCGAGTTTGGAGGTAAGTATGTATATTATTTATATTATTTAAATTAATTTTATATTACGCAGGACTAACTGTTCCGACCGCAAATTTTGCCGGCGCTCTAAGTAAAATAAATATGTGTATTTAAACGACAAATTTACACAACTGTTAATCAAAATAATAATTCTCCATTGCCATTTACAAAACTTAACTTCGTTTAGTACTTAAGCTTCATCCTCTAGAATCTGAATATTCGCTGTTTTAGTGGAAGTCCAACTTTTTTTTCTTCGTCTTGACCGGGACACAGTTAAAAATTAGTGACGGAAAATAGCATTATGAAAAAATTTGCTTATGGACAAAGTTGATATTATTTGTCATTTGAGCTTAAGAGGATATAAAGGGAATATAAAGAAAGGCATGGAAGATAAGTGCGGTGGTATATAATATAATAAGTAAAATCTGAACTGAATTGTAAGAATCTCTAGCCCCAAATAAAACATTTTAAATCATAACCAATCAGTGAATTTCAGGGATCAGTTGTTATATCTATATATCGGTATCAGGAATCGGAATGTTTAACTTTAATATTCTTTATGTATTATTATTTTTTATTTAAAATTTAAAAAAATAAATAAAGCAAAGTAAATAGCCGTAACTTAAAAAAAAGATTTTCAAAATAATAAATTAAGTATAAAAATAATATAAAATATAATATTATTTATCCAATACACCTGTCCACTTAGTTTGGACGACATAAATGTAGCAGCATTTTCCAGCTTTTAAATAGAGCCTCCTCAATTCGTTCACCACAAAGCTTTTGTTTGTAATCTTTCTACCATTTTCACAAATCATCATATTAGATATTTTGTAAATATCCAAAATAAGAGGCTCCTGGTAAATAGCCAGATTTCGCCGAAAAATAGCCAAGTTGGCAACGCTGTAGTACGCGCCTGCTAGATTGTTCTTCGCCATATTATTTTCGCAACGTTTTATTGTAAATACAGACTTTTAGATGGCTGAAGGTAATTCAGACGAAGGAGCAGCTGGCTGCGAAGACAAGAAGCTCTCAGATATCTTCCTAAGTGGCTGGAACATCTTTGACGAGCTAGAAGTTTCAGAGCTGCCCTTTAACAGCAGCGAGTTTCAGGTATGAAAGTATGCCAAAGATATTGTTAAACGCACTCACATTTCAACTATCCTGTGCAGAACAAGGTCAAGACGGCAATGAGCCTTTTCGAGGAGGCCACTGTCATCGTGAACCAAGTTAGCATGTTCAGTGCCAACGAGCTGATCGATGAAGTCTCAACCGACTCGCTGCCCTTCATGCTGCTGCCTTACTTTTTGGCCAAACTAACTACAAAGATCAACAACTCCAGCAACACGGATGTTTTGGATCTGGGCGAGATATACTTCAAGGATCACCTGCAGCGTTGCCAGGAGTACGATCTCTGCGAGACGCCCAAATCAAAGGAGGAGAGGCAGGACAAGCAGGCAAGTAACCAAAGTGAGCAGCGACAGCTCATGGAGGCCGCTTTCAATCGTAACGACAAAATCGCCCAATATCGCCGAATGAAGGAGATCGACGAGTATATGGACAAAATGCGGGCTGCCATCAAAAACAAAACGGCTGACGACGAGGTCAGACGGGAGTTCTTTCTTAAGTATTTGGACAAAAGCATTATTGACTCCAAACAGGAGTTGGAATCGCTGCGGGTGATGAAGGAGCTAGCTAAGATGCGCCTGGCGCGCCTGACCGGTGGCGATGTTGTTGACGAAGTTGACATTTCCCACTTCCACCAGCCGCAGCAAAACTCCGCGTCGTCTATTTCTGCCTCCCGAGGACACGGACACAGTCACGGGCCAGGACACCACCACAACCATCAGCTGTCATCCGCACCTAAGCCGAAACCACTGCAGCCATTTATCATAACGCGCAATGCCGCGCAAAAAGCGGTGTTTGGGCTGGGCTATCCCAGTTTGCCTATTATGAGCGTCGACGAGTTCTACCAGAAGCGCGTCGATGAAGGAATATTCCCTGATGAGGAGAAAGTGGCCAAAATGAATCAGGCACAGGCTATCGCGGCAGCACGGGATCCCAACGAACAGGAGGACGAAGAAAAGGCGGTCGAGGAACAGCAGGTTGAGGAGGACGATCCGGAATATCTGGACCGCATGAGGCGCATGGACGAGTATAAGGATGTGGTGCGACGCGGAGATGGGAACCGGCACAATCGTAGCTAAGAAGCACTTTTAAATATTTTGTATTTTTTCTAAATTATAAAAATGGATATCACCATGAAAAAGTCGTATTTTTCTTCATGGTTCAAAGTTGGTAAATATTTAAAAAAAAAAATTTGGTATATAATATAAATTAATAAATAAATAACTTTAAATGTAATTAGCGTATGAACTGCTGGCTTTTCTCTCTTTATCATTAGCTGCTATTTTTATAAATTTAAATAAACATTTTTTTAGCTACTTTTTGCTATGCTATGCGGGGAGAAGCACCTGGCAACGCCGTCCATTATATCTATCAGTGTTGGAAAGCGTTGCAGCAGTCATTTCTCGCTTCGCAGCACTAACATTCCAATTCCACCACCAGCAAAACAACAAAGATTCCAAGGCCTGCGGGCACATAAATAATTATAAAAAGGAAAAAAGGAGGCGTTTAAGGGCATTTCTTCCCTGCAATCATCGAAATTAAGTTAGAGCACTGTAAGCTAATAAAGATAAATCTGCACGTTGAATGTTACAGATCTTACAAATCTTTTTCTGTACTCGGTCGACAGCAAACTTCGCAGCAGCACAATGTCAGTGAGTGATTTTATCAAAGGCCTGCCGACCCATGACTCAAAAAACTTCACTCACCTGAGCAATGAGCACGGGATCCGAACGTCGCAGAAGCGGGCTTCCGTGTACCTACCCACCGAAGAGGTGGCCTCTGAGCAGTTGATCGTGATGGATAAGCGCTGCGTGCTGCTGCGCTATCTCACACAGCAGTGGGACAAGAAGACGTTACAGCGAAAACGTGAGCACGGTGGCGACGGCACCAATGGCAACAACAGCTCCACGCCAATCGGTAACGGCAACAGCAAAAAGCGTCCGCGGTTGGACCCCAATGAGTTGAACTGAACCAGTTGAAGGTCGTCCCCCACCCCCATAGTACACACGCCCCCACAGGCACACGCACTATTAGCACAAGCTACTCCCTCATATATACATACATATGTTTAAATAAAATTATGAATAAGTACATAGGACTTGTTGAATAACTTCCACTTTGCTCAGATCGCAATATAAATCGTTCAGAGTTCGAGTTGCAGAGCAAAGCTAAGATTTTGTTTACAGTAAATACATGTGTACATATATTAAAGAAATGTACGTAGACTTCGAAACTCTTGTATTGTCTGGGTATAATATCGTATCATAAGAATGTTTTAAATGTATTCTGCGTTTTTTTTTTTTTTTTTTTTTTTTTTGAGAAAAATAGTGATTTCAAACCAAATTTTGGGAAGTTCGATGACAACCTGAGGGACCCACCAAAAGTCATTTTGAGTAGCTCCAATAGATTCACTTTTATAAGACAAAGATTGGATGTTTCACTACAGTACTACGGGTAGGCGGCTAGTGGTGTCCCAGGTCCTTCGGATCCGGCTTGCCGTATTGCTTCTCCCACCAGGTCACGTACTCCTTCTTGCGCTGTTCCCGTTTGGCAAAGTACTCGGGGTACTGCGCCTTCTCAAGGGGATGCCAATAGTCTAGCACCCAGTCCGGCGGGATAACTTCACGCTCGAATGCACAACCGCCAGGGCTGTTGGCAACTAAATAGATAACAGTGGAAAGTTTTTAGTACCTCGATTGCACCACAAATAGTAACTCTTGTTTACAGTTTCTGGGCTGGTAATGCTTCGTTTCGAAGAGTTCCTTCTGGCCACTGGCAAGCAATCGGATGCCCTCGCCCAAGTCCTTGCTGCGGTTTTCGTCAAAGCGCGCTCGTAGTTGCACAGCGCGGTAGCGGTAGTCATTGCTAATTGGGAGTAAGCCGCGGTCAAGATGCACTTCGTCATTATATAATAATTTGATCCCTGGTAGGTGCTCTTACCGTCGGTCGTACCAGGCCTCTAGGTTGCGCAGGGCACGCTTGTACAAGCTGCACACCTGGCGCTTGTGGGAGACAATTGCCAAGGGAACTTGGGCCATGGCTAGCTTTACCAAAATTCGATTAAACTTATAAAATTGCTTCTATGCCTCGGCCAACAAAAACAGCTGTCAGCTGTCAAGACGACCAGTGCTGCAAAGTTATCTCTGTCACTCCTAAAAACAGTGCTACAAGACGCCGAAAACTATGAGAACTATGAGAATAATAAAATATCATGTTTCATAAATTGGTAGAGAAATTTTTGCATTACTATATATTTGGTATTTCAACTCTAAAAAAATTAGAATACAAATCCCAAACCATTATGTTTAAAACGTTGATAATTTATTGATTGATTTGAGTTAATAAAACATTTATAATAATGCAAAAAGTTGATCATAGAAAACATTTTCCATACAAATATTTGGCAGAATCAGAATTATGGAAACCAATAATTTGGAAATAATTAAAAGTTAATGCTACTAAATTTGTTGGCAACATTCTATTCTATTGCCCAAAAAATTAGTTTGTTTTAAAATGTTGTCTTTTCCAACAATAAAATAACACCCATATAAATATGAAAAACCATAACTGGGCCATAGTCGTGGATATTGAGTATTGCTGGACTTGGCTGCAGCTTTCCTACGAGTGATCTTGTTTTTATTAGTATTATCTTTTATTTTACATAGCTAAAAATGTTATTAAAACAAAAATTATACAAACATAACATCATCTACATATGTATACTCAATGCACAGCTGCAGAAATTAATTAACTATCACGTATTGTAAACCAGTAACATAAATAAATACATTAATAAGTTCATATTATAACAATTAAAAAAACAATTTTAACTAAAACTGCTAAGATTTGTTGATTTGTGGGAAGGGGATTGAGTAGTTTCTCATTTTCGTAAATCTACAAAAATAAGTTATAGCATATTATATTGGCAAATGTTTTTTTTTCAATCTTATTCAATGATTCTGATCCTCAAAATTAGCTGGGAACAATTTTAAATCTGTAGAATACTTTTGGTGTTTTTTATGTATTTTTTTTTTAACTAACGCATACGGCTTCTTTAGCCGGATATTTTCTTCTTACTTACCCTTTAAACAAACAAGAATCCCAAAATATGGTTAAAGATAATTGAATTAAATTCTTTTGAAATGCATCAATCGAAATGCTTTAATAAATGTTGTATATTTTATAACAAAAAACTTAAACCTATAATAGAATATGGTGTGTTAGTCCTCTAGCTGCATAACATTCATTATGCACTTTACAATATGCTCCGGTATATTTAATGGGGTTTCGCACAACTCGCCCGTCTTTTTGTTCAGCATGTAGATTTCGTTAAGCACACGATCCTCATGCTCCGGATCCAGAGACGACACGAGAGCCAAGGATCCCTCTGCCAGTTCGGCAAGTATTTGTTCGATATCTGGGTCGGCTGTTGTTGGCGGAATGGGATCGGGGTCATCCGGTGTTATGACTTCAGGACAGTGTCCATCCTCAATAAAATTAATGTAATATGTCTCCGGCTGACGATTGGTAGTTACATTTCTGGATTCAGCGTCGCTAACATAGGACAGGGCTCCGTCATCCAAATTGATGATGGTTTTATCACGTGACTTGCTTACATCTACTTCTATCTCCTCCGGCGATTCATCCATCAGAAGACCATTCAGCTCAGCCTGTAGTTCTCCTTTTGTTGGTAAATTTTGTTCAGTTTTTATAGCATTCTCTTGCTTTATGGGTTCTCCCACGGCATTCGCCTCAACCGCAATTTCTCGTCGCAATTTTGGTTTTCGCTTAGAGCCGGAACTCTTCTCATTCTCATTCTCGTCCGCCTCCAAGTCCCTTCGCCTTTTAGACCAGGCTTGTTTTCCAAGCTTCTTATTTGTCACATGCTCGTTTGCGTAAACAATATCGGCATCGTTCATTGAACGCGATGCCTTGCTTTGTTTCTGTTGTTTCGGACGCTAAAAAAAAGTTGAATCCAAAATAAATAAATAGGTTCAAAAACAAATTTTATAAAACAAACCTTTTTTGGGTTTCCAGGAGACGCGCCCACAATTTCTTTCCATTGGCGTTCATTTTCCTCTCGTTCCCGATCCTCCTCCTCCAGTTGGTCCTTTAGCTCCTGAATATTAAAGGCCTTTGGGTAAAGCAAAGCCTTATTAATCAACTGCCCGTTGGTGCGTTCCTCCTTCTTGTATTTAAGTTTAAGGTCGCGTCGCGAACGCGTTGGAAACATCTGACACATTAGCGAGAAATCCGTGCCGATTATCTGCAAGCTGCGATAGAAGCGGACCGTTTCATCGGGCGTCCAGTAGGATGTGCGTTTGTGCCGTTTATAAAATCCATTGTCACCTGTTGTCTCATCCATTAAGATAAGAGAAGAGTTTGCCAACACTTTTCGTGCCTCTACCTCGGCCGTGGTCTCAATTTCCAATGTCTTCTCATCAATAATCATCTCGCCATTCGCATCGAGCTTTAATTGTGGCACTGGCATTGAGTTTGTAGCTTCTCCCTTGGCCTCCAGGAGCTGATCCGTTGAGGGCTTAGCGTCTTCGCCGTTGGATTCATCCTTAATCATCGTCATCGACTGCTTTGGCACCATTGGATTATTCTCCGGATTGTAAAAGATCATGTCTAACATCTTAAATGTTGACTTATCGGGGACGCCCTTGTTAAATCTAGTCTCAAAGTCCCTCCGCGCATTTACTCTCTGACCGGACTGGGTGTTCGGGTTTTGAGAAGTGTCGCCCTTCCGCTGTTTACCGCCTCCACCCTCCGAGTACGTAGAGCAGGTTGACTCCGTGCGTACGCGTCCCACACCCGGACTCATCACAGGCGGAAAATACTTAAAGGGGGACGGTGGCATGGGTGAAGCCACCTGCTGCTGGGGCGTTCCCGCCGATGAACCGCTGAGGTAACGCTCCCGTCGTGTCGGTGTAGCTGGTGATTGATACTCGCCATCGTAGTCGCCGGCCATCGGGGAGCCGACAAAACTGTTGCGACGCTGGCCAAACACCGGCTTGGGACGCACACGCTGACGAGCCTGAGCCTTGCCAGGCGACATCGGAAAGCCGCAAGTCGTCTTCTGCAGGTCCATTTGAATTACGTTATCCTCGATGTCCGAGTGAAATACCTCGTCCACATGACCGGCTGAGCTGACGGGCATTTTAAAGGCGGTTGCATCAGCGTCCTCGGGCTCCGCAAAGGTCGCAATGGGCGATTGTTCAACCACCGCCCTTTCCTCTGGTTCCACCTTCAGCGTTGACAGCTCCTCCTTGCGAGGCTTCCGCTTGATCAGCGATAGGTTGGCCGGGGCCTTGATGCGCTGGCGCCGCATAGACATCCTGCTTGGTTTCTGTTAGATACCTTTCAGCCTTAAATGCAGTTTCACACATTAAATCGAACAGAAATTATCCGCAGAAAAACAATTAGCAGGCACCACGAGTTCCTCGGGTAAGTGTTGACTAACGTCTATGTGCAGGCACTGTGGGAAAAAGTTTTAAGTAATTTGTAGTAATTGTTAAATTAAAATAAGTTATTTGGCTATTTACTGAAAGTTAGGCATACAAATGTACGTATGAAATGCTTAGGGCAATGAGAACGCTCACTCGCAGGATTCAAGTACGACAGGAATTTAGAAAGCTTTATTTGATAAATAAAATGAGCCGACGAGACCATCTCATTCTTGTTGTACCATTTCCGAGCACTATTATGAACATGTTTTACCACACTGTCGACACACAATCATCACAACAACGGGAGAGAGCAGCGCAGCAATAACATAACCAGAAGGCGATTGCAGGTTGCACGTTTTTTTGTTCAAACGGCTAAACATGATAAGCCCGGCCAGAACATAATACATATGCCTTAAACTTCCGTCAAAACGATAGGCAGAGCCTCGAAATACTAAATTCCCCAAGTTCAAAGGCGACAAATATGACAAATATAAGTGTGTGAGAACTTACAGTAATAGCAGAGGAACATTACTAGCTGAGAAGCCGCCGCCGCACCTGCCTGAGTGCTGTTGTTATGCAAGCAGACCAACGGAACGGCAGACGCAGGCACCTACTAAATTGAATTAGCCGGTATGCTGCTCAATCGATTTGTGCTAGCCATCAAGAACCAGTCCAGGGAGACGCTGCGCGCGTGGAGCTACCAATGCGAGTCGATCTTCGCTCAGCGGTCACGCCGCATCCAGCAGCTTCTAAGCTTCTACCAGTCGGTATACGGCACCCAAGGACTGAAACAACTGTGGCGTGCATACTATCGTCGGGAGTTGCAACCTCCGATCCGGGGCATGGTGCTCAGTGTAGTGGGCCTCATAGGCCTGAACATCAAAAGGCTGGGCGGCGACGGCTTCGACTGGAACAAGGAACGGCTGGCCCTTTCCAATTTCGACCTGTGTCGCCGAGACATTGAGTTCATCAACACGCTGCCCCACAACAAGCTCTGTGAACGCTGCCTAGCCAAAAAGATGAAATACTGCTATTGCCAGCTGGGAAACCTCCGATGCCCCAAAAGCCAAACAAAGACTACGGCGACAGTTCCGACAAACAAGGATGCGGAAGTGGACCCAGAGCTCAGCAAACGCATTTGCAACCAACCTCTGGAAATAGAAGTTCATGACGCACCGGCAGGGACTGTCCACATTCAGGCCCAGGACGAGCACGAATGGGAGCCTTATTTCAGCAAGAATGAGTTCAGCATCTGGCGCCGGGAGGAGCGCTCATCGATGTATTCATACAAGGTGATTTCATTACTCCGGGATATTATGTAATTATCTAGTCTTATAATGTATTTTCTACTTTTTACCGTAGGTATATGCTCGATATGATGATGTTACAGCCGACGATTTTCTACATGTGCAAACTGATTTGGACTACCGCCGCCAGTGGGACGACACGGCATTGAGATTGGAACTAATAAGTGAGGATCCTGTGCCGGGCAGTAATTCGCATCTCATCTACTGGGAGATGCAGTGGCCGCGACTATTTGCTAATCGCGACTACGTCTATTGCCGGCGTTTTATCAAGGACGACAACAAAAATATTATATTCATCTGCAATCGAAATGCCACTCACAGCAAGTTCCCGAAACTGCCTGGAAAGGTGAGAGTGACCGACTACTGGAGCTTGATGGTAATCAAGCCCTTCCGTGGGTTCCAGGAGCCGGGACTTCACTTTGTGCTAACGTATTACGACGACCCAGGCATACCCATACCGCAGAACGTCAAGTCCTGGGTGACGCAGAAGCAGATGCCCGAGTTCTTAACCAAAATGTATTTGGCCACCAAGAACTATGCCTACTCCCGGGCTATCAAGATGAAGGACATGTTCAATGGCTTCGCCCTGATCAACGAAGAGTATACGGCGAATGCGCAACGGGGCAGCTGGCTAGGTAGCTTGGGCCGCCGGCCTAAGATGGCCAGTGACTCAAAAGCAGAGCGCTGAAATCGTCAATAAAAGTTATCTTTCGCCTTTCCACTGATCGCACCTGTTCACACCCGATTCCTTGAACTCAACTTACAAGCCTTGTTCCATTTCGAACTTGGCGAGGAAACCCCATTTCGAGCAATATAAGAAATAAAAACCGAAGAATACCAGAGCAAGTGTGCAATAACTTTTGGAATGTAAGCCACATGCATGAGGAACTAAAATATAAAATGTGTATCTATATAGCTACTATATAAATCATAATATATAAGTTAAGAAATTGTTTTAAACGAAAATAGAAATTATTGAAATTACAGATTAGAATAAAAAAAGGCAAAATAGACATCCCGGAGACGTATAACAATTCAATCGCTTTAATCAAATTTTGTTAAGAGGATGGTTTTTGATATTAAAGTAAAGCTTAAAACGTATCTAATGTCTAGTTAGGTCGAACCTAGTCAATCTTTCTGCATTTCAACAACGTATGCAAAGCGTGCAAAGGACACCCCTTGTGATCTACTCACATAGAACCGATAGAAAAAACATAAACACAACAATAAGAAAGCAACACGAAGCTTTGTGTAATAAATTGATATTCTTGGAAAAGTGAAATAACTCTTAATATTATCATAATAATAAATAGTTGCTATCATCTGAATAAGTATCGCCAAATTTACATTTTTCCCTACTGGAGAGCAAACAACGTCGAATGTTTGACACAAATTATTTTATTAAACGCCTTACTCGCATATACCCCATCAAACTTTTTCACAATTTGTTTGCTATTGATTGAACCTTATTTGGTATCCGGTGTAACCTATGGCCATATACATATAATATGCACATATTCTTTATGATAACCACCTGATTATCTTCTCCGCACAGATTTGTAGCCCACATTTGACAACGAGACAGTTACTTAAATCACTAAGCAAGAAACACATAGAGGTGTCAAACAGTGTCTAGACTAGACATATCGTTCGGGTGCTCTGGGGTTCCAGGCTCTGCCGTTTTTGTGATAGTACTTTTTGGTACTGTTTGACACCTCTATGTGTTTCTTGCTTAGTGCTTAAATGCTCTCTAAGCAATTGAAAGATATCGCAGTATATAAACATTAGGATTGTTTCGGAGTCTAGGAAACAAAAATTATTAGGTAATCTCAATATTGGTTTTTTTATTCGATTTTCCCATGAAAGTAATGGTAGTTTTACAGTTTGATAAATAAGAATTAAGTTTAAATTGTAATAGAAATTGTTCGGTGATTACAAATTAACCTATAGTTAAACTTAAAAAAAGAAAAGTTAAAGGTTATAAAAGGTCTCATGGTTTAATACAAAAGGGAGATTGTTAAATTGTACTAGGCGGCAGCGTATCACAGCTCAGTGCGTTCGGCCGTGCTCGGCGGATTGTTTACGTAGGCTATGAAATCCTTGCTGGTGCGTCCTCCATTATAATCCAGTTTGGTTTTGAGGTACGAGAAATACAGAATGGTGGGATAGCCGCGGACATTGAATTTTGCGCAAAGAGCGGCATGCTTTGTACAGTCGACTGCTACAAATGCCACACGAGGATCATCTTGCAAAGCTGTGGCGGCTGCTGTAAACTCCGGCTTGGTATTCTTACAGTGTCCGCACCCTAAAAGAAATTAAATACAAACATAACAGAATTTTTCTTATTCACTTCTGCCGTTGTTTAAAATCAGTCGAAACACAGCTTGAACTATCTTTAAATTCAAAAAAATAAGTATATCCTCAAGACATAGAGATTTTATATACCCTTGCAGGGTAATTGCAGTCAGAACGCAGTGAAGGAATCATCTCCAACCATATAAAGTATATATATTCTTAATCAGCATCAACCGCCGCGTCGATCCAGCAATGTCCGTCTGTCCGTTTCCTTGCAAACTAGTCTCTCAATTTTGAAGCTTTTTGAATGAAAGTTTGCGTCGAGTCTTCTATATATTCTCACTCGTATATAATTTGGAACGGGCCGAATCGGAGGTCTATATCATATAGCTGCCATAGGAGCGATCGGAAAATTTTTAGAAAAAAGAATGTCGGATTTGTTTGTATGAAAATCAGAGGACTGTATCAAATAGCTGCCATACAAAAGATCGTTAGACAATGAGGAAAATGCAAAACTGTGATAAATATATATAATTTATATTGTATTAATTCCTAATAAAGCAATTTCAATCTGCAAGGGTATACAAACCTCGGCTTGCCGAAGTTAACTTCTTTTCTTGTTCACTGAAATCTTAAGGACAATTTAACTTACATGGAGCATAGAACATGACCAGAGCATGTTTCTTCCGCTTTAGTGTCGAACTAAAAGTCTCGTCATCAAGAAATAGGACTTCCTTGCTGTCCTCCTCTTCTTCCCAGCTCTTTTCAGGTGGCGGAGGCGGCGGGGGCTCCCTGGGATCTCGCATAAAGTCGACAATTTTCGAAGCTTCACGCACGTTGACCTCGAACTTAAAAACACCATTGGAGAAGAACTTGACTGTTGGATAGCCCTTGACCTTGTATTTTTCGGCAATGGTCGGCTCTCTGGTAGCATCAAGTGCGGCCAACAGTCCGGGAATCTTATTTTGCTTCATCTCCAGAGCGGCCTTTTCGTACTCGGGCTTCATGCGTTTACAGTGTCCACACCAGGGAGCATAGAACATGACTAGGGCGGCCTTTTCGTCCTTTAATGCCGGCTCAAAGCCGTGAGTGGTGAGATGGACAATTTCAGAGTTGGTGTCGGCTGACCATTCCGGTTCCTTGGGCTTTGGTGTCGTCTTGGCATTTGGATTCAGCATAAAAGCGACCAGAGCATCCTTAGTGTTCTCTCCCTCGTAGGTGAAGCGCAGTTTGCCATTTTCGAAATAAATTAGTGTGGGGAATCCTGTGAGGAAATTTGTCGTTCGTTAGTTTTGCTTTTGATACGAACAATGGACGAACTCACCAGTAATATTGAAAAGTTTGCGTATGGGAGCGTTCTCCTGCCGCTCCACATTCATGGCCGCTATGATATAGTCGCCCCTGGACTTCAGCTCTGTGGCCGCCTTGCCATAGTCAGGTTTCATTTTCTTGCAGAAACCGCACCAGGGCACATGAAACATCACCAACATTGGACGTATGTCCTTGCGTAGGTGCTTCGTGAACGTAGTAGCGTCGCTGAAGTGCAGGACATCGTCTCCGGCCGGATCCTCCTCCCAAGGAAGGTCGCCCGACGGATCGCGCATGAACGTAACCATGGAGCCGACGCTTAACTGCCGGTCGTAGTCTTTGTGATAGTCGCCATCCTTGTAGTGCTTGATCGTGTACGGATCCGGTGTCACTTTTAGTTTTTTACACAGCTTCTTACGATCCTGCTGGCCGCAGTCCAGGAGCAGCATTGTGCCAGTTCCTCGGATCGTCTCAGCAGCCTCTCGGAATACTTTTAACTCAGCGGCGGCAGCTTTTGAACTGGTGATGAAAAGCGTCAGGACATTGTTTTTGGTGCGCAGCAACTTCTTAAAGTCCTTGTACTCGACAATGTCCTCCTGCACCGACGAGGTTTTCTTTTGAGCGGCAACAAGTGCCAACAGGAGGAGTAGATAAGCAAACCGTCCGGCGGTCCACATCGGGCTGCTAGGATTTTATGCCACAGAAAAGAGAGATCGCTGTTTACTTTTATATTTCTTCGCCGGCACCAGGTAATCGCATTTTTTATACAGATTTATTGAATCATTTCAATTTCATTAAAAAAAACGCTAGGAAGAAGACGTGGACTACTTAGAATCTATCGATAGCTGGCTTGGCAATTATCGGTCAGTTAGAGATGCCAAGAGCTAAGCTGATCATAAATATCGGTTACTAAAAATATCAAAACAAAACCTAATTTAAAGATTTTCAATTATAGCTTGTTTCGGATCTTGAAAAATGTACTTAGTTATGATGCGAAACTGAAAAGCGCACTTTATTTAAAACAGATTGCAGCGCCGAGCGATATTGCCAACGTCAATCAATAAAATGGTAGTAAACAGTCAAATAATCTTAAAATATACGTTTTTCAGATGTGCAAAGGAAGACACAAAGTGGACCGTTTTCATAAATTTAATTGCCTTCTAACAAACAGCTGGCATTGATAAAAACCGATAAATTTGATTTCCGAAAATAATGTATTTATTAAATAGAGTTTATAAACAACAATTTATTTTGATTCATGTATTAATGTACTATGACATTGTATAAATATCAGTGAAAGTGTTGCCAACTATCGGTCGTCGTTTATAGCTGGAGGTCACAACTAAAATAGCCAAAACTAAATCAAAATTATTTATTTGGAACGTTATAATCTACATATCTGAAATTATTATTTTCGAATATGACCTCATTTAATTAAAAACTCCAATGAGGAATACATAATGTCCAAAATAGAACTTAATGTATTCAAATGGTTTTTAATATTATTGTTGAAATATTTTCTACTTATTTTAAACAACATTTTAGCACAATCGCAACCTAATGTTGGCAAAATAATTTACAAATTATTATGAAAAATACTATTTTGGCACTTAAAGTACACAATTCTGTCACGCTGAAAGCTATTTTTTTGTATTTCTATCAATAGCTGAACAATGGTTAAAAATCAAATAATTGAAGCAATAAGATTTAATTATTTGAAATAGTTGAATAGCATTTTTATTTTTTGAAAAAGTAAAATTAACTGACTCCTGTAAAATTAAGTGTTTTTCAGTCTTGTTTCTTTGGGTCTTGCAAGGTCTGGCCTTAAAATAGCCGAGTTGGCAATTTTAATTGTACGTGGCACGCGACAACCCTACGCCTGCTCTGACACATTAACAAGAGGGAAAAGAAGAAGAGTATCCAACTCGGGGCAGCAAAGTTTTTCTTGATATTTTTGCCGGAATTTAATTTGAGTTGTTGCAGAAGAGCCTTAGTTCGCCAGAGCCGTGAAAGAAGATGCCTCTCAAATTGGACATCAAGCGCCGGCTAACGTCGCGCTCGGACCGTGTCAAGTGCGTTGATCTACATCCGGCGGAGCCATGGATGTTGTGTGCCCTTTACAATGGCCACGTACACATCATGAATTATGAGAACCAGCAAATGGTGAAGGATTTCGAGGTTTGCGACGTCCCAGTGCGGTCCGCTCGCTTTGTTGCTCGCAAAAATTGGATACTTACTGGGTCGGACGATATGCAAATCCGTGTCTTCAACTACAACACTTTGGAGAAGGTGCACTCATTTGAGGCGCACTCGGACTACCTGCGCTGCATCGCCGTGCATCCCACACAGCCGCTGGTGCTAACCAGCAGTGGTGAGTAAGTTGGCTTGGGGTGCTGTAAGGATTGTGGGATAATCTCTGTCCCAATTTCTTACACCCAACACCCAAAGCTTGTATTTACCTTAGCCCTCGCTGGGAAGTATGCTTTAGTTTTTGGCTCATCCGTTCGTGTCTCCCTTCTCTGGTTTAGACGACATGCTCATCAAGCTGTGGAACTGGGAAAAAATGTGGGCTTGTCAGCGAGTCTTCGAAGGACACACCCACTACGTCATGCAGATCGTTTTTAATCCCAAAGACAATAACACGTTCGCCTCGGCCTCGCTGGATCGTACGGTGAAGGTGTGGCAGCTAGGCTCAAACTTCGCTAACTTCACGCTGGAGGGGCACGAGAAGGGTGTGAACTGTGTGGATTATTACCATGGAGGCGATAAGCCCTACTTGATTTCCGGCGCCGATGATCGCCTGGTAAAGATTTGGGACTACCAGAACAAGACCTGCGTTCAGACATTAGAGGGCCATGCACAAAACATCTCCGCTGTATGTTTCCATCCCGAATTGCCGATTGTTCTGACGGGGTCTGAGGATGGCACCGTGCGGATTTGGCACTCTGGCACTTATCGCTTGGAGACCTGCCTTAACTATGGGTTTGAGCGTGTATGGACTATTTCCAGTATGCGGGGCACGAATAATGTGGCACTTGGCTACGATGAAGGTTCCATTATTATCAAGGTGGGCCGCGAGGAGCCGGCGATGTCTATGGATGTGGTCGGTGGCAAGATAATTTGGGCTAAACACTCTGAAATGCAGCAGGTAAAGGTAGACAAGAGAAGTTTTAATTACTTTTATAAACATTTGTGTCTTATTATTTTTTGCAGGTCAACTTGAAGACCATTGCCGATGGTACTGAGATCAAGGACGGAGAGCGCCTGCCCGTGGCTGTTAAGGATATGGGAGCCTGCGAAATTTACCCACAGACTATTGCACATAATCCGAACGGCCGTTTCGTCGTAGTCTGCGGTGACGGCGAATATATCATCTACACATCTATGGCGCTGCGTAACAAGGCCTTCGGGTCCGCCCAGGAATTCGTGTGGGCGTTGGAGAGCAACGAGTATGCCATTAGGGAGAACAACGGCACTGTGCGACTGTTTCGCAATTTCAAGGAGCGCAAGAGCTTTACACCCGAGTACGGGGCAGAGAGCATCTACGGTGGCTACTACTTTGGCGTTAAGACCTCCTCTGGCTTGGCATTTTATGACTGGGAGACCCTGCAGCTAGTTCGTCGCATCGAGGTGCAGCCTAAGAACGTGTTCTGGAACGAGAGCGGCAGCCTGGTCTGCCTTGCAACAGATGATTCCTACTTTGTGCTCGGTGTGGACACCGCACAGGTGGCAAATGCTGTAGAGTCCAAGGAGGGCTTGGAAGACGATGGTGTGGAGAGCGCATTCAATGTATTGGGTAAGTTGAAATTCAGATAGGGACATAGATGATAATAAAAGATTTATCGCAGACCAATATCTAAGATATGAAGATATGATTTAAAAATGCTTAACATACATGTACTTTAGAAGAAGAAAAATCAAATCATTATGGTGACTTGTTTGGATACAATTTTGTATATATTTTACCGCTATGATGGATCTATAAAAATATCGAGTTTTACATATATAGACGGTGTAATGTTTGATATATTTTTCATAATTTTTTATCATTTAAGCAGATTAGCGTATTCTATATTTTAAAAACGGTGATTTTTTGTATTATAACATTTTATGGTTGCAAACTAATCAAGGGATTGCACCTTTTTTTTATTACGAAAAAAAATGCATAAACATATTTAATCTGTTTTTTTCCTTCTCATTGCAGGAGAGGTCTCTGAATCCGTAAAGACGGGCCTTTGGGTTGGCGACTGCTTTATCTATACTAACTCGGTAAATCGCATCAACTATTATGTGGGCGGCGAAATTGTCACAGTGTCCCATTTGGATCGGACCATGTATTTGCTCGGGTATGTGCCCAAGGACAACCGCCTGTATTTAGGAGACAAGGAGTTAAATGTGATCAGCTTCTGCCTGCAGTTGTCTGTTCTGGAGTACCAGACTGCTGTAATGCGACTTGACTTTGAGCGAGCGGACCTTGTTCTACCCACCATTCCGAAGGAGCACCGCACTCGAGTGGCGCACTTCCTGGAGAAGCAGGGCTTCAAGACACAGGCTCTGCAGGTATCCACCGATGCGGACCATAAGTTTGATTTGGCCTTACAAACCGGAGAGCTGGATATTGCCCTAAAACTGGCTCGCGAGGCTGAAAATGCGCAAAAGTGGTCACAACTGGCTGATGTCGCGGCTCGGAAGAATAACATGGCTCTGGTCAAGGAGTGCATGCAAAAGGCCAACGATTTCAGCGGCCTGCTTCTGCTCTCTACGGCTTCCGGCGATGCTCAGATGCTCGAGGAGGTCGGCGAGGCTGGTTCCGCCCAGGGACGTCATAACATCGCATTCCTGGCAGCATTCCTGCGCTCAGATGTGCAACGCTGCCTAGATATTCTCATTGCAACAAACCGTCTGCCGGAGGCTGCCTTCTTTGCCCGCACCTACTTGCCCAGCCAAATGTCGAGGGTGGTAGAGCTCTGGCGCGAAGAGCTGGGCAAGGTTAACGAGAAGGCCGGCCAGTCCTTGGCGGATCCGGCTCAATATACAAATCTCTTTCCGGGCCTGGCCGACGCATTGCGCGTGGAACAACATTTGCAAGGGGAGCGAGCTCGCAAGGCGCCAGCGCGTTTGGCCGGTCAGCTTCCACTGAATAGTGAGCGCAATCCTCTTGAGGAACTGTTTGCCGCTGAGCAGGGCGGAGCAGGCCAGCAGCTGGAGGAGAAGGCGAAGCCGGCCTTTAATCCCGCCTTAGCTGCCGCTCTTAGCAGCGCGGCAGCCGCCAAGCCTTCGTCTAATGCGGAGGACGACGATGACCTGGACCTGGAAATCGATGGCATCACTTTGGATGACAACATTGATACGACGGACGTTAACTTGGATGACGACTTTCTAAGCGACGATTAAGTACCAATACCAGATGCCAGATATCTAGAATACCATAAAAACCTTCGTTTATTGCTTGGGAAATCCCACATGTCCAGCATTTCAATCCACAAAATTCCGTGCATACATTCGCATTCGCATTTGATCTGATTGAATGTTTGTTTCCCGTGCATTACCTATACAAGTCTAAAATTATAAATATATTTCTATTAATAATATGTATGTACAACAGTAATGAAGCAAGAAATGCAATAAAAAAATACTTATACAACAAATGTGGTACAACATTGGGGGCATTATTCTTAATTTCTTCAGTATCACCTCAATTATTATTGTTGTTCCTGGGACACCATAGTTGGTGAAACATTTTCTTTATTTACTTATATTGAATTTTCTTTAAGAGGACTTTACTCCATTAAATTTGTACGAAATGTTTTTGAGCTATGGTGTTAATTTCATAATTGTTGCAATACATCTGGCTTTAAATATTTGATGTGCAATACATACATAAAGTTATCAGAAATATTATTAAAGGGGTCTTTCACAATGAGTTCAAAACATTTTATAGTCAATGTACATCAAAACGATTATATTAAAGCGTAAATAAAAATATTAACTAATAAGATTTGGAGCTGAAATAATATTTTAAATTTTAAATTAAAAATACAACTTGTTTTTAAACGCTATATTAACGGTGGTCCTGGGCATTGCAGTCCAACAAATTGTAGAATTTTTAACTTTATATCCCATAGTAGGCGTTGTGAAAAATTATCTCTATAAATTCTTTCCTTAATTCTGTGTTATGTTTTGTAATGTCAGTTTCCTGAATCTTCTGTGATTTCTTTATTCATCGAGGACGAAGTTGACTAGTGGGAATACCTGCTAAGGATACGCTACGTATGTATGTAAATATATTAGAAAACGGGTGTCTTTTGAAGAACTGCGATTCCATATAATCAATTTGTACGAAATCTATATCTAAATTATAACTAATTTTCATTTTGAAATATAAATTTAATACGTTTTATGTAGAAAATCAGAGAGCACCATTGGATGATAAAAAAGCTAACTTCGGCACGCCAAAGTTGTTATACCCGTGCAGATTGCACTAAGAATTAGTAATAATTAATACAGTATAAATTATATACATATATGTCAAAATACATATGTATATAAGGCTTTATAGTTACAGTTTTTCATTTAGTTTTGTGTTTTCCTCTATACTAATGATCGAAATAGTAGTCCTATTTTTATAAAGTTAAAATCGAAATTCTAGAATATTTTGAAAATCTTTTAAAAATTTAATAAGTTATAAACATTTTCCGATCGTTCCAATGGCATAGGATATAGTCGTCCAATCCGGCCCGTTCCGACATACATATATATGTATGTATGTACATATATACGAGTGAGAGTATATAGACTAACTGCAAAGATTCGTTCAGAGAGCCTAAAAACCAAGAAAATAGTTTGCGTAGATACGGACATTCGGACAGACGGATATGGCTAAATCGACTCGGCTGTTGATGCTGATCAAGAATATACATACATATGTACATATATAATTTACTCAGAGGTGCTTGCTTTACTGCGTTGCAAACTTCTGACTGAAATTATAACCCTGCAAGGGTATACAAATTGATTGTATATATACATATGTACATCTACATACATATATATAAAGTGCAGCTTTCATCGGCTATAGGTCGATTTTCTGTAATTTCTAGCGTTTTAATTAGAAATAATATGTTCGATCCTAATGGGAATCGAGGAGTTAGTTAGACCAACTGAAAGCATTTGTATTATCGATAAGTAGTAGGCCAGTGTCAACTGTCTGGCAACGACGTCAGTCAGTATATACATACTTACATCTCTATAATTCGTGTGTGCGTCTGGATTTTGCTGTATTTTTTATTTAAGAATGAATTATTAACTAACCATTAATAAATTATTATTAAATAAAAAACAGTTAAAAACCGCGAATCATCAGTAAGTATATCCGTTTCCCCTTCCGAAAAACAAATGCGGAACGCGCAACCCGCATTCTACATCCCTTTGAGCTACGAAAGCGGTGTTATTGATTTTTTCCCAAATCAGATACACACCAAGGAGTTTCCAAAGACCGCCAGTAACCACCACGTCCAGCTATGGAGCAACAGGAGAACTTTTCACTTCCCCACAGCATGCCTTTGCCGCAGCAGCTACAGCATCTGCATCACCAGCAGCACCAGCAGCCACAGCCGCCGACTCCCGTTCAGACTGGATTTGCTCCACGGCGCCAGTACGACAACTTGGCCGGCTCTGGCTCCGCATGCCTGGGTAATGGCAACACGTCCGCCGGAAGCCCGAACAAGGGCCCACCGATGATGCAGCGGCCCATCAAGGCCAAGAAGGAGAAGACGGCGATGAGCCAGATTCCTCAACAGGCCGGGCTTCCTGGCCAGTTGCAGCTGACGGAGATAATCGACACAGGGGCGGGCGGGGGCGCTGGTCTCCTGCCCGCCGATGAGGCTCTCAAGTTTGTTAGCGAGACTGACGCCAACGGCCTGGCGCTGAAGACGCCAGTAAGCATTCTGCAGGAGCTTCTCAGTCGACGCGGCATCACCCCTGGCTATGAGTTGGTGCAGATCGAGGGCGCCATTCACGAGCCGACGTTTCGGTTTCGTGTATCCTTCAAAGACAAGGACACTCCCTTCACAGCAATGGGTGCTGGACGATCGAAGAAGGAAGCAAAGCATGCGGCGGCCCGTGCTCTCATCGACAAACTGATAGGGGTGCAGCTACCGGAATCACCCAGCAGTTCTGCCGGCCCATCAGCGTCGGTCCCCGGTCTCGGAGCTGGTTGTGGTAGCGGTGATGGCAACGCAAATGCAGCAGGAGGTGGCGAGTAAGTAGGCAGGAGTATTTCGGTCTGCTGTATCATTATTCTGTGTACCTTCAGCGCCGGCGACAAGATCGTCGGCAACCCTATTGGCTGGCTACAGGAGATGTGTATGCAACGTCGGTGGCCTCCACCATCGTACGAAACGGAGACAGAAGTTGGCCTTCCGCATGAACGGCTCTTTACCATCGCCTGTTCGATTCTTAACTACCGGGAAATGGGCAAGGGCAAGAGTAAGAAGATCGCCAAGCGACTGGCGGCGCACCGGATGTGGATGCGCCTGCAGGAGGCGCCCATCGATTCGGCCAAGATCAGCGAAAGCATCTGCGGCGAGTTGGAGGGCGAAGTGAGTACACAAACGCAAAATATCAGTACGATGAGTGCTCGATACGATCGCATTTCCAATGATTTTGAGTTGCTTGAGATTTAGTTTAGCCTCCTCCTGTCGAGTCCACTGAACCCACGCTGTCCTCACGTTGTTTTTAATTTTGTTTAACGTTGCTTTGTCCTTTTATCTATTGCGTGCATGTCATTTTATGAATTGTATTTTTAGCATAAGAACTTGTCTTTTTTTAACAAGGCTTAAATTGTTTTAATTGGTTTTAGATTTGTTACCTAAATTGTTATTTTTGTGTATTCTTCTGTCAGAGCTTGGCCTAATGACAAATATTCTTAGATTATGACAGGGTTCATGTAATAATAACAATATTAATATTATGTATAGCTGAAAGCATACAAAAAAAAAACCGTACCAACCAGAGAAAATAAATAACCAACTCTGACATTGAAGAGCTTGTATATTCTATGTTTGCGAACAAATCCTTCTGTTAAAGATAACTGGTTACATGGTCACCCTGGGTTTTGATATTTGTTATTCCTTTCAGGGTTAAAGTATGTGTAAATATTCTGTATCGGCTTAACTAACCAAGTATTGTCCGTGTGTCCGTTTTTACGAAAACGAGTACCTCGGTTTTGACTAGTCTCATTATAATAAAAGTCGGAACGGGCCGGATCGGACAAATATATTATATAGCTGCAATATGAACAAACGGTAAATTCGGTAAATGTAGAGGAAATGTTCCGCAAGTGTTAAACTGTAACTATAAAACTGTAAACATAAAACGGATATGTATGTAAATGTAATGAAGGTAGGCATTACTTCGTTGTTTTTTAACATTAATATGTATGATTTGATTTGTATTAGATGTGAACAGATTATTGTTAATTCAATTGCAACCTGCAAACTTCGATATTCCGAAGTTGGTATCATTACTTGTTTTTCTATTACATTTATACAGATTTGTACATATTAAGGCATGCCACTTTTTTCTTCAATTCAAGTTATGAAGTATTAACAATTTATAAGCGGTCAAATGGAGCTCTGCTTCTAAAATACATTTATACATAAATTCAAATTCCAATTTCAATTGGAAGTGATATGTTTCAACTCACCATTTAGCGTGGGAGTTTCCGAATGTGTATTCTACATAATATGAAAGAAACAAAAAAGAAAACAAAAATTGCGCTCTTATTTTACAGCCCCGCAGTAGCGATAATTATTATGGTGATTTGAAAGATATCTCTGTGCCGACACTGACCACGCAACACAGTAACAAAGTGTCCCAGTTCCATAAGACTCTGAAAAATGCGACTGGTAAAAAACTACTCAAGTTACAGGTAAATCCCACTGTCACTATTTTCACACATGAATTTTCTTCATTGTCCAATAATTTTATCATTTGTCAGATCTTTGAAGTAATAAGATTTTTTGTGAAGGTTCATAAAAATAATTCTACACTCGACTATGTACATATATGCCAAGAGTAGGCAAAAAAAAGAGTCGCTAAACATTAGATATTTTACGATGAATATTAATAAATGCCGGTTTGTCTAAAGATATAAATACGTTGGGAATTTAATCTAGTAGACAAATTTTTTTATTAATTCATTTAACTTATTGAGTTGACTTTTTTTAAACAATCTCTATATTTCTAACTTCAATGACAAGCGGTTTAATAAAAACAAATAAATTAAAGCTCAATAAAATAACAGGCAAGCAGAAACATAATAACCAATATCGTTCACCATTAGCCATTAGTAGGGAAGCGGTAAATTGTACTTGTATATACTCAAGCAATTCTACCAAAGGCCTTTTAATAACAAGATGCAAAATGCCTTTGAACAGCCACATATAAGAAAAGTTGGCCTAAAATACCTAGTTGCCCTAGACCGCCTTCCATATGCGTTCAGATCTAGAGTGCTTAGGAATATACATATGTGCACTTTTTTTTTTCGCCGTATGCCTACAAAAGAGCCCAAAAACATTATTTTGCTCTGAAATTAAAATTAAATAGATCCAGAAGTTAGCTAAAAAATTCAATTTAAAAACGATCTATAGGGTAACTCATCTTGTTATTTAAGGTTTCGACTATTTCTTTGGCTCAGTTTTATTATAAAGTTGAGAAAATCGGTGTGCAAACTTTGACTTCTTACAGCTAATTGTATTTCGTTTTTTAATCAAACAGAGAACATTCAAGCCTCTAGGATAAAAATATATACATACTTAGGAAAGTGTAATTTTGATACTTCTAATGTAAGCCAAACCTAGAGTGAAACATTGAATGCAAAGAATAGTTTGTGTTGTGTAAATTGTACTTTAATTGCATATGCATATTTACTTGACTGATAAATCCGCATGCATCTGACCCGCTTTTAATGCAAGGTTTCTCCATATTTACTTTTAGAAGACCTGCCTGAAGAGTGCCAAGATGGATTACATCAAGCTTCTGGGCGAGATCGCCACTGAGAATCAGTTTGAAGTTACCTACGTGGACATCGAGGAGAAGACATACACTGGACAGTTCCAGTGCCTGGTGCAGCTGTCCACGCTGCCTGTGGGCGTCTGCCATGGCACCGGTCCATCAGTCTCCGATGCCCAGCGGCACGCTGCCCAGAACGCCCTCGAGTATCTCAAGATAATGACAAAGAAGTGAGCTGGCAGCCAACCAGACTGCATAGCAAAATCTGAACGCACACCACGACCACGACGACGACGACCAGTATATATGCATGGTGATCGAACCTCAAGGCTTTCCTTTCCAGCCACGTCTAGCCAACGATTGCCGCGTCTTCACCTGCAGTTTCTTTTGTTCTTGGTTTCCTTCTCGATTTCTTTGATTAGACAGTTGCCTATATACAGTATATATCCATATGTAAATGTTCATATACACATGCCCACGCATGTTGTGTATATGGTAACACGTACACTTGCATATACAGACAAGTGTGTAATCTACTCGGAAATCTTAGTCGCTTTGAAATTGTAAAAAAAAAAACAGCCAAAAACTAAGTCCACATAAAAAGTTAATAAATTAAAGTAAAATGGCTAACTTAGACATAGGATTGATTGTTTGGTTTATAAATTTACATGTGGCAGTGATGAGGCTTGAAAATACACACATATTCGGTAATCGCAGTGTCTCTAGTTTTATTAATGGGGTGCAGAAAATAAATATGTTTAGATTTAATTACGAATTTAACAGTTTATGTTCCGATAATAACCTAAAACTGAATAAAATCTAAAGCCAGTCGAGGTCCCTTCAGCATTGATCACTATTCTTCCTCAGTGCAGTTGTTCGCAACTTTGAGGCAAAGTTTCTATATAAGGATGAGTAACACCATACGAATTATGTAACTTGATTTTTTGTCCAAGCTATAAAGCTATATCCAGGCTATTTTTAAATATTGTTCAATAGCCAGAGAGAGAGAGCTGTTAAGCTAGGGCGACTGGCTTGTACTTACAGCCTCAACGCAATTGCTTGTGTACACTTACACATGGAAGCAATTCAAATATACGGTCGTTATCTATCCACGTAAAATGTTGAAGTTGGTGAGAAAACGGACGCTGATGATCGGCTTTAGATATGTATGTTTAATAAGAAAAGTGACTTGCATGTCGAAACTTAATTTAAATTAGTACTTAGCTTACTTATCCCACTAAAAACAATTAAAACTATTTCTTCTTACGGTCCTGCGTACATTTGGGACAGAACCATTTTCCCTTGGGCTTTGTAGTTAGGCCGACGCAAGCAAAGTGGAACCATTCGATGGGGCACTAGGCAAATTTAAAGGTCAGGCATTAAGTTTTAATGGAATAAGCAAAACAAATATAGATACTCACGTCGGGATTATCGCATCCAATCATCTCTCCATATGACACCTGGTGGCACAGGCAATACGTTGGTTCATTGGGATCCACAGGCATGTCCATTACATCGCTTGGATGTGTGGCGGCCGTGTGACTGGACTCTTTCTCTGAATCATCCACTTCGGCGGCCTTCTGTATAGATGGGCAAAGGAGGAAATATTTATTACCGAATGTTAAAAAGTTCAAACAGTTGTTACGTGCAAATGATAGTGAAACGAAAACAGAGTGTAAAGGGGAAGTCTACGGAAAAGTAACAGATTACCAGGCTTGGGGGCTAAACGGGAGCAAAGAAAATATAAGTACATAGGTTGGTTAATCAAATTAAGATTTCAATAAAATCAATACATTTAGATGAGAAAATGAAGATGATTTACCTTTTGTGCGCCCCCTTGCGAGTGTCTTTTTCTTGATTTACCTTGGACTTTTTCTTTTTGGTACCTTGGCCGGCGTTGGTGGTCGAATTAAGACTGGTATTTACATTGGTCTGACTACTACCACCACGAGCCGTTTCCTCGTCCGAGGATGCAGACTTTTTCTTTTTACCAGATGTAGCCTTGCTGTCCTTGGTTTTTTTTCTACCCTCTACAAGAAGTACAAAGTTTAAGGTGAATACGACCCTGAATTCTAGGGCAGACAGAGTGCAGTTTTGCCCTTACTTTTGGCCACTACTTCCTCGGATTTTGCTCGCGTAGAGGAGGCCTTTTCCTGTATTTCGCCCTCGAACCGAGCCAGATCGTTGTCCAGTCGTCGGATCTGCTTGTCGACCAACTCGTACGTTTGGATGGCCAGCTGCACCTTGTCGTCGCTGTATTCCTTAGCCTTTCCGAACAGAGCCTTGATGTCCTCCAGCCGCTCCTTGCGCTCCTCGTCGCCCAGTGCCCCGTTCTCCCCCAGCTTGCGCATGAAGTCCTTGGCGTGGCTATCGATGCTCTTCATAGCCGTTTGGGCGCGATCATCCAATTTGCGCATAAGCTTAAAATTTCGCTCCAACTCGGTCGGTAGACTTTCCAAGCCTGTAGGGGGAATGATATTATGAATACTTAAAGGGTATTCTGCGCGACAGTAATGTGCAGCGCTAAGTGCCTACCGTCCAGATAGTTCTCTAAATATATTGCAGAAGACATTTTGTTGGATCAAATGAATGTTTACAGATCTAGGAGAATGCAAAAGTGTGACCGCAGCTCTAGTGTTGATATATACCACTGGTGCTGTCGCTTTAACCATTTTGTGGCAGGTATTGAGCCATTTTCTAGCTATATAACGCGGCCCAATAATAATTAAAATCTCATAATGTTTGCTTCAGCGGCTGTTCCTTGATTGAAAAAATCGAAAACAATTTTTATTTTTTAAGCGAATAACTAAAATGGTTTTTATATGTTTAGGGATATTTAAGACAAATAACGGGTGTTAAATGTTCAATTTAGCTAAAAAAAATTCTGGGAGCTCTGGCCTTTAGTCCCACAACAGTGTTGGAAAGCGAAAAATTAGATTTCCTTCTCTTTGAACGACACAGCAAAAGAACAAGAAGTTTGTTTTGATACATTCTGTAAATTCTGAAAAGCAACAAAAAGATGACCGCTACATCTGGAGGCTCCTGGATCTGTGCTATCTTCGATGAGATTGCTCTTGAGGGCCTGCAGGGGGTGACACTGCCTTGTATGATGATTACATTGACCTTCGCCGACAAATGTGTTAAAACATTTCTCTTACTCTTTTAGATCTATGGGAACTACTAGCGAAGCGTCTGTGCGGCCCCTCCTCACCGCTGCCGGACCGCGTGCGGGAGCAGGCATGGGCGCTACTGCTCCGTTCCCAGCCTCAAAAGGTCGAGTTCTTTGAGCTACCAGAACCGCGACCTTTTCTGCCCTATTATGATCGCGAAAACGACATAGACCCTGAAACGGGCATGCCTGTGGTTCAAGACGAGTGTCCCTTCATGTTATATACCGCGGCTTTCGTGCAGGAGGACGGCGTAATGGGCAATTGTACGGACTTTAAAACCCGTAAACCAATTCTATCCAGTGATCTAAGAGCTCAGACCGCTGCCCAGGCTACCGAGCATTGGGGCGGCAAACTAGTTATTGTTGCTTCGCAGGAGCTTCGCCAGGCGGCGTTGACACCAGCGCACATGATGCTGCCTCAGAACATGCCCCTGGCATACTATGTTTTCCTGGAGGCCATTGGTCGTTCTCGGCACAGCGGACTCACCACAACGGGTCCTTGGTCTCTTATTAATTACACCAAGGACCCTGGTATTGTGTTCTACATCAAGTAAGAGTATATTTAGGTGTTTCCTATTGATGGGCCATATCATTATTTTTATACCCTTGCAGGGTATTATAATTTCAGTCAGAAGTTTGCAACGCAGTGAAGGAGGCACCTCCGACTATATAAAGTATATATATTCTTGATCAGGATCAACAGCCGAGTCGATCTAGCCATGTCCGTCTGTCCGTCTGTCCGTTTCTACGCAAACTAGTCTCTCAGTTTTGAAGCTATCTGAATGAAACTTTGCAGTTAGTCTTCTATATACTCTCACTCGTATATATGTCGGAACGGGCCGGATCGGACGACTATATCATATAGCTGTCATAGGAATGATCGGAAAAGTTTTACAAAAAAAATTATAAAATTAGTTTATTAGTTATTAGTTTTCAACGGAATTTGATCAAATTTGAGATATAGCCATTTCATATTATTCTACAATTTTGTGTAAAATTTTATGAAAATCGGACGACTATATCATATAGCTCCCATAGGAACGATCGAGAAATTAATACAATTAAATTTATAACTTTTTTAGGTTTCAGCTGATTTTCATTAAATTTGAGGTATAGCCATTTTATGTAAGTCTTAAATTTTGTGGCAAATTTCATAAAAATCGGACGACTATATCATATAGGTGACATACAAACGATCGTTTGATGTAGAGGAAAAATGCAAATCTGTGAATGTAAAACTGCAAATATAATATGTATCGGTGAATGAAATGAAAGCAGGTATTACTTCATTGTTTTTTAACACAAATATATATAATTTATATTGTATGGATTCCTATTCATAGAAGTTCTATCTGCAAGGGTATATAAACTTCGGCGTGCCGAAGTTAGCTTCCTTTCTTGTTTCTTTCTGTGATGGCTCATGGTGCATTATTTCAAGTGCATATTAAAACGTATTAACTCATCTTACTATGAGGTTTGTTTGAAATATTCTTCATAAATCCATCTAAAGACGTAACATTTTGTAAAGTTCTTTTGGAAACCAATTTGAAAAAATTTGCAGAAGCAAGAACTTTTCCGAAGGATTAAAAACCTTAAGTAAAGCTTTTTTTGGAGCTAAAAACACGATTGTATTTCCTTTATATAACCTTAAGCATTAATTATTTTATTTAATTAATTTTATTTACTAAAAAGTTATATTTTCTTTATGTGTACCTTTCTAGAAACAAGCTACTGGGCCAACAGTTAATTACTTCCCAGGCCTACCATGAAATTAACAAAGGTCGCGCCCTAATGTCCTCGCTTCTGCATTTACCACGATTTTATCGCATATACAAAAACAAATCACTGGAAAGCCTTGGGAAGCTGTACTTGGCAATTATGGAAACAAGCAGTCGCCAAGTGCCCGTGTCGCAGATTGCCGCAGTGCTGGGAAATCCTACCCATTTCAAAGTGAAGAAGCTGCTGGTGACACACACCTTTCGAAAGTTCTTTGAGACCAAGCAGGTGGAAATGTCTGTGCCAGTAATGACCAAGACGGGCAAGTTGTCCAAGACAGCAATCCGCAAAGTGACCGTCGCACAATTGCGAAACCCCGAACTGCAGTTGAGGGATTTCTACAAGACCGACGAAATCGAGGAGAAGGCGACTCAAATTGAGTTCCTTGACCTACGCCATTGTTACCTAGACATGCCACCGGAAGAAGAGGTGTACCGGGCCGTGGCTCGATTTGGCAAACGTGGACTAACGAGTCATGAACTATCCCAGTATACGGGTATCAATGCCCTCACTATGCGCCACTTCGTCAAGCAGTTGAAAAAGTCGGGCCAGATCAAAATGTACTCGGACCAGGTGGGGAAGAGCCGTCATTTTCGCTTTATGGCCACAAGTCAGTTTGAGGAAGATGTCAAGCTTAAAGATGCAATGAATCACAAAGAGCTACCAGTTAGATGCATGGACGAGCCGGTAAACACCAAATTAAGTTTAACATTCTTAGTGTGCTCTCGATGTAGGAAATCTAACAAACCTCTTTACGTTTTCTTTTCCAGAATGTACCCAAGCAGTCAGAGATTCCGATTAAGGATATACCAGATATAATTACCCATTCGCGACCAATGGTGTTTAGCGTAAAAAGAACTAAGTCAAGAAACCAGACGCTGCGCCACATAAACCGTCGAAAGGTGATTGTTCGCCTGATTGACAAGCACTGTGTGGTGCCCTTACATCGGTTGCAAAAGTGTCTTCAAGAGGAGGAACGCTTGGCCGGCTATACGGACAACCTGTGTCGGCGATCGTTGCAGCGGCTTTTACGCCCCTTAGTGGATGCCCATGTGTTGAACGTGTTTGAGATCACCATGCAGTACAAAGAGCGTGTCCGAGTCTTTCGCTTTGCCACACACCCAAAAATCGGAATTGACCACTCGTTTATGCAGCGCGAGATCCTGAAGCTTAAGAGCAATATGCATTTGATATCCGAAGAACGCATGCACCGGCTATCTGATCTAAAGCCAAAGGAGCGCAGTGAGGTTATCGCTCGGAGAAAACTAGTTTTGGAACGACCTGCCAGCTTATCAGCCATAAACAAGATTCAGGCTCCCAAGCTCCTCCTGGCGCGGACGCTGCACGAGTTCCTCTATTATGCGGTGCATGAGATTCCGCCAGACCAAAAACCACTGGACATGACTCCCGAACTAGCACAAAAATGGCAGAAGTCTGAGCCGGAGCTGCAGCCACGCCAGTTTCTGGAAGAGTGGCAAGCCGAGGCCAAAGAGGAGGGAAACATCCCGCCTTATACCGAGGAAATATCCTGGCGGACCTTTATTCCTCCACTGCCGGTGTATGAGAACAGGCCCAAGGGTTGGGTCTACTTCATAGACGCCATGCAAAGGATGCCGCTGTCGCTCTTTCAGCGCATCTGCCGCATCGAGCGCGATGCCAACGATCAACTGCGTCCGCAGTTGCAACACCCGGTCCGTCAGCACTATTTACTCTCGCAACTAAAACGGGATTCGACCGTGTCGCGGCTGAAGTTGCAACAGCTTTATGTGGGAATTCTAAGGCTGCTAAATAACATGGGTCTGATCCAGGTTAGCGAGGGCAAGCTAGGACGAGACGTACTGCAGCGTTGGGTGTATCTAAATCAGCGCACCTGCTTGTTGGATACCACATCCAGCACCGAACAAAACTACATGCAGGTCAGCACCGAACGCTCGTACACGCGGCTCAATTTTGAGTTCTCCAGCGCGGATCAAGTGGGCCACTATTGGGCTAAGCTGCAACATATCTGCATTTACACCAAGCTGGGTTACCGCAAAGTCCTGACCTCGCAGAATAGAAAGAGCCCGCTGCGATTCAAAGCCCTAACGTTTCTGCCCAGCGTGGACTTTGACCAAGCCTTAGAGATGGACAATGGAACGGTGCCAGGCGATCATCTTGGAGCTGCTGGTTTGAGCTCCCAGTTATTTGCCCACCAATTCCGCCATTGGACGTGGGTTCAGCACCAAAACGGAGGAGGCGGAAAGTCAAGACGAATACTTCGGGAGAGGTTGAGAAAGCCAATCCCTGGACGGAAGCGTACGACCTTCACACGCTTGAAAGGCGGTCCGCGTTTGGCAGGCCGAAAACACGGAGTAGGGCTGCCTAACGACGTAACTAAGAAGAGAACCAGTGGGCCACGCGACGATATCGATCGGGATGCGTTGCGAAACATGCGCACGCTTCGTGTCAAATGGACGCCCGAGGAAGATCGCCTGCTAAAGATGGGTCGGGCTGTCTACATGTTCATCGACGCACCCACGGTGACTTTGGCCTTGTGTGACTTGGGCCTTGTCTGCCGCGATGTGATCCGACGCTTTTTAGGTATTTGCAACAAAACAACGCAGGCCTGCGTGCGTAGAGTCCAGTTCCTAGTTAAGATGAGGCGCGAAATCCCGGATGTACCCAGCATGATTCATGCAATGCAAACACAGCCGGAGTTTCACACGATCTACAATGATACTTTCTTGGCTCAGCTGAAGCGGGAGTATCCGAATAAGAGCGAGTTCCAAGGGGCATTGATGACGCACTTTGCCCTTTTAATGGGAAAGCTCCAACGGATGACCGCGAAATCGGTGAGTTGAATATTGGTTTTTAGTAAACGATGAGAAGAAGGAAGTCACCAGTAAACGTTCCTTCATTTATTTAAAAAAGACTTAACTTTTCCGGTACCTATAGTATGAGGCAAGTGGCAATACAAGTGGATTACTGATTTTGTTCAATCGAAAATAAATATAAAATGTAGAATGAGAGATCTTGGATCGCATAAAATATATATGTATATACTTTGAGCAGCATCCCCATCAGAGTACGTCTATCCGTCCGTCTCAGAGACTATAATAACTATAGTTAGCGAATTTTGTGACATTTATGTATATCGGTTGCACCCTAAATAAGTTTGTTTGTTTGCTACTACAATTGTATATTGTGATTAGACCTTTTAATAATACTTACTTACTATTTAATTTGATATATCTCCCTTTCTAGCAAGGGTTTCTCAGCAAGCAGTTTTTATTGCCTGATTTTTTGGACAACTTCGGCAGTCAACAACTAAACGAGCTTCACTTTACGCAAGAAGACCAGCAACTAATCCACCAGGATCCTGTTAACGAGACGGAACTCCAGGTGGCCGTCGCTCACAGCGTTCTGCATAGTACTGTCTGCTGCGTCAAAGACAAAACGCTGCTGAATTTACAAACCTTTGAGATCTATAAACACTTCTCCGAGGAGGTGCTTAACGCGGCTTTCAACAAGGCGCGATCAGACTCAATGCTAGTGGCTGTTAAGCGACGCAACATCCAGTCAGCGTCCAGTCGCCAAATCACAGGACCAGGCCACTTGCTCAGTTCCAAATACAAGTACCGCTTGGTCTACACTAAGCTGACACACTTAGTATACGATGCCTTCTTTGCCTTGGCACAGAAATTGCGGTCTGGCCAAGAGCAACAGCAGCTAGCTTCACCGCACTTTGCCCAACTGCTTCTCATAGGGGAGTGTTTGGTGGGGAATAAGATGCGACTTTCACTACAGCTGCCCGCCAACATCCTAACCGTGGATATCTCAACCATGGGCAAGCAAAGCGGCTGTCCATCAGACCGTATTTTGGATCACTACAGCTGTATATTTGACAATGCCCCGCAGACAGAGTACGCCAAGCGGTTGGAGGGCGAGTGTAGCAGTACCAGCCGACAAGTTTCTCGCGTTCGATTCCATCCCGCAAACATGAGCTACCGCCTGCCTGCTAGTGCATACAACCAGCTCTCCAAGCTTCCGATGCGCGCCATGCACTTCTTTTGCGCCTTGGATGCTTTAGGCGAGGCTATCACTATCAGTCCCTCTCGGCTGGAGCAGGGCGACTGTCCATTCGCCAACTGTATTATGCGCAGCGGCAACTATCTAAACGCTGTGGAGCGAATTGCCCACGAGCAGCGACCAATTCTACGGCAGCTCGTGGCCGATGCTCTGCCATCTTCACAGCATTTTCAATTGGAATCCCAGCAGGCGGGCACTGCCCTCACCGTGAGCACCTCTAATCTTCTGCCCTTCGCCCAGCAGCTAGAGAAGCACTGGCGGCGGCAGCAGCAGCTTTTAGAACTTAAAGATTTGGGAAAGATCCTGGCCGAGCGAACACTGAATAATATCACTGACTGGCGATCCATTTGTGCCGAGCTGCTTGATGACGATGAACCCCATTCGTGGGAGGTAGACCGCTCCCAAGAGTATGAGCCAGCGTTGAACAAAGAAGAGCGTGCTCGGGCCCAAGACGTATTCGTTGTCCATCTTCCTACCATTGGCATTGAGCTCGTCGAGAACAAGGACCTGCAACAACAGACAAAGTTGCAGATGGACAACTTGAGAAATTTGGTTTTGAAAAAAGTGGAAAAGTAAGTGGAACAATTTTTATAGCCCTGCAGGGTATTTTAATTTCAGTCAGAATTTTGCAACGCAGTGAAGGAGGCACCTCCGACCATATAAAGTATATATATATTCTTGATAAGGATCAACAGCCGAGTCGATCTAGCCATGTCCGTCTGTCCGTTTCTACGCAAACTAGTCTCTCATTCAAATAGCTTTAAAACTGAGAGACTAGTAGAGTGTGTATTTACTTTATATGGTCGGTCACTGCGTTGAAAACTTCTGATTAAAATTACAATATCCTACAGTAAACAGACTTTTTTTCAGGCTGGATATTTAAAACAAATTAAGCGTTTAAATTTTTAATATTTCTCCTTTTGAATTATTTGCACAGAGCCACGTACTGGAAGTATACTGAGAACACATTCAAGACCCTTCAACCGATTCTTCAAGAGCGAAAGTATGACTCTCATGCCATCCGCCACATGGAAGATATTCTAAACCACATTGAACAGCATCAACTTGGTGTGCAGGCCCTACAGTTGCGCAGTATCTTTCCCCTTGGTGACTTCCTTTTAGAGACACTCCATCTGTTGGCTGATCACGATCTAGTGAAGCGTGTGGGCGTGTCCAGCCACATGTATGTGCACAAGAAATATATCCGTAATTGGGTTGTTCACACGTTCCATATAAAGCGGTTGCAACGGGAGAGAATGCAGGGCCAGGAGGCTCGTCCAGTCGCCGTTAGTCACAAGCGCAATCTAGACGCATTGGGTACGATGGGCACTTTCATGCCTCCTGACAAAAAGATGAAGCTGATGGAGCAGATAAGTAGCACAGGGAGCGAGAGTGATGATGAAGCAGAAGGATCGAAACCCAAGCGATCCGCAAGGGTCTCTTCTCGAAAGTCAAACGTCATCGCTGAAACTAAAACTAATCCACCATTAGATACTTCACGGGACGCCATTGCGATGAGGCCACAGCCATGGATAAGGGTAAACGCATCGCTCAATCGTCGCGTTCTGGATCGGTGGCTCGGCGCTATTCTCAGTGAAAGCATTTCACGTGTCGGATGTACGGTTCACAGTTTGTTTCTGAAATTCTCGCATATGGTACCGGTTGATATCATGTTTCTTCTGGAGCTCCTAGGAGATCTAGGTTGCATTTACCTCATGGAAATAAGGCCTCAAAAGGTGCACGTGGAAATGCTTCTAGATAATGATGAACAGGAAGGTGAGGAACTGCCAGCTACCGAAATCTATGATCCGATGCAGACTTATATTAAAGTGCACAGCGATGCAGTTGGCCGTCTCACCAACTTTATCGGCCAAAAGAAATATAATACTGAATTCATTTAGCTATTGTATAACATAACAAATAAGATAACTTGATTAAAAATGTTTTAAGCGTTCAAACTTGTCATAGTTATGATTATTTTCCCCTTTTGTAATAATTTTTAACTGAATTCTAAATTAAATAATTTCAATCTGAAGTTTGAAACGCAGTGAATCACTTCTCTTTCACTGTAAGTCACAGTCTATTTTAATATTTAAATTGAAGCTGGTCAAGGATCGACTGTGTACACAAAAATTTATAGTTTTTATAAAGTGCGCCGAAGGATTGGATACGAAGTTGAAGTATTTACTTATTTCTAAGGTGATTTGTAATATTATCTAGTAAGAATATAAAAATCAATTTGATAATATTTTCCTACTGTCGTTTCATAGCGAAAAAAGTCAGACGGACATGGCTTATACGCCTGCTTATACTGATACACAATATATATAAACTATATAGTCGTTTCACTACCGTTGTCAGGTTTAAAGTTTATTTTCAAAGTAGATTTGGTATTATTTTCCAATGGTGGTTTAATGGCGGAAAAGACAGACGGACATGGCTTATTGGCATATGATGATAAACAATATGTTAAGGGTCGTTTCACTGCGTTGCTAACTTTTTAAGTTCATTTTAATAACATCTTCACTTGACATGAACGCGAATATTCAGGCTGTAATCACCACATCCCTTCACTTTTGTCAGTACTTAACCTTTCTCTGTGCACAATTTTGTAGAATTGGAAAAACAAAAACACGACACAATTGACTTTTTTTTTTGTAACCACAAATTCGCATTTGAGGCGTTTTAATTTTTGTTTCACTTCTGGTTTCTTAGATCCTGTTATTAAAACTTTAGCACATCACTACCGACGGGGGGCAGGCATTATTTACCGTTTGCCACCGACGCGAGGAGCGGCCTTCTGCGTGACCTTAGCGGCCTTCTGCTTGGGCGCAGACTTCTTGGCGGGTGCGGGGGCAGCGGCCTTCTTTGCGGCCTTAACGGCGCGCTTTTGCTCCTTTGCCACCTTGATGGCTTGATCACGCTGCGCCTTGCGCACCTCCGGCTTCATGTTGCGCTTGGCCATGATCTCGGCCAGCGAGGCGCCGACGATAGCACGCTGGAACTTCTGGGTACGGCGAGTGCGCTTCTTGGAGGCCTCCTCCTCGATGCCCTTGCGGTGCTTGCGGCGGTAAAGCACGGTCCACGTAACCTTGCGGGGATTGCGCTTCATCAGATAGGACCGCTCGCACTTCTTGTCCAGGAAGGTGAAGCTCTAAGAGAGGGAACGAATATAGCATGCTTTAGCTATCATGTCTGCGGAGCATTCTGTACACACACACACATACCTTGCCATCAACCTTAACCATGGTTTTGCCATGGCCAGGGTAGATTTTGTACCCGCTGAATGAACACAAGCCGATCCTGAAAACGCATACTATATTAAATGAAGAAAACACATTATTTGTAGAATGCTTACTTCATTTTGTTGGCAAATTAATTGCAATTTCAACAAAATCCACGTGTGTGTATGTTCCGGAAACGAAACGAAAAGAAAGAGGAAGACAGCGCTAGGGCTGGGGGTCCGCGAACGATAGTAGCGAGAAACTAAATCGATGTTTTGTATCGATAGCTGTTTTTTCGTTTAGGACCCGTTTTTACTACGAGTCCATTTTTGTTTTCTGTTAAAGTTTTTGGAATAAAAACATTTCACATTTTTTCATACAAAATAACATCTGTTCGGAATCTCTTATTTTAGTATCTAACCCCTCGCAGCTCCAGAAAGATCATTTTGCTATTTTTGTTATTTTATGTTATGTTTTTATTTCTAATAAAAGTTTCGTAGCTTAGCATGTTAAGTGGCTGTGTATTATAGTCCCATTTCATTGCCATTTTATTACATATAGAGATGACTCTAATTTACCCATATTATTTGTGTAAATATATAAAACATTCTCTAGAATGTGCAGTAGAATCGCACTATTATAACTTGTGTAAAATGGTAGTGGCGGAAGTTTCAATGCGATAGTCGACTAGAATCAAACGAATTGATAGAATCGATGTTGAAACTAGACTTTTCGATAGTTCCATCGATACTATCGGAATAGGTCGCCCCAGCTGCACTTCCAGCTCTAGAACGCGGAAAACATTCAAGATTAATGCAATTAAAATAGGCGCATATAGTCAGGTGGCATAAGATATCTGAAAAAAACAACTACTTCAAGTCGAAATGGTGTGTGCCTAACAATACCAAAGGATAATATTCATGTGCTGATACTATCTCCCTTCCAGATATGGACCTGCAACAGTTCCTTACCCTGGAGCGTCAGCAACTACAGAAGGATCGGGAGCGGCTGGCCAACGAAAACCCGCTGACATGCCCCGCAGCCCTGCTTCTGGAAGCCGCCGACTTCAATGTGCAATGTCGCAGGACAAAGGAGTCCAATGAACCCGTCGCTGTGTCTCCTTCCTTGGCAACCGGCGGCCAAAACGAAGAACTTCTTTTGGACTTGGACTTAGGAAGCCTGGAACGTGTGGATGGGGAAGATGGGGTGCAGGTCGAGGCAGACTTCAGCCCATCTAAATCCACCAAGGAATTGGCAAACCAACGCCAGCTGCTCGTCGGCAGCGCTCGTCAGTACAAGTCGCCAAATGTGTCGCTACGGCGCAATTTGGAAAGCGGGCGACCGCTAAGTGAGAACCGCTTGCCAATCCGTCGGTCGGTGAGTACTTACATGTATACATATGTTGGAGCTTTGAAATGTGCGTTGCGTTGCGCTTCATTGGTGCACCGCATCGCAAATTTCTAATGCCATAAATGTGCGAAATTTGTTATTCTACGCCTCATTGAGCCAAGTTACTCATGCCTTTTCAAGCATTTTCAGAGACTTTAAGTCGTTTGTCTTAAAATCTTTGTCTCAGTTGAACCAAAGATTTCATTGTGTTATTTTCCCTTGAGTTTGCCGTGCGCCATTGGGTAAGTCCCATTCTCAGAGATATAAAATCAACAAGAATTTTTTTTAACAGAAGAAATTGAAAATTCATTTTATAATATTTTGATTAATTTATTTCATTTTGAATTGTCATAATTAAGAGATCAAAATTTATTCACGAGCTGTAAATTTGTTGCAACTCAAAAATATTCATTTCAAAATAGCTGAAAAGCCAAAATACTTTCGAAAATAAAAACAAGGAACTGTAATAATTATCGGCTATTTGAATAGCCAATCCAAAAAGACATAAATAACTTCTTGCAAATTTTACCTAGCGCTAGACAAATCATTGTATCTTAAAAAAATCAAGCATTCCATAAATTTTACAAACAACAAATATTTTGTGCAAGAAATAGACGTCAGAACATGATTTTTATGCACTTATTCGATTTCACTTTTCATTTTTTGAATTATACATTTAATTACAAACTCACCCGCACACCTAGTAATTCATTTGTTGTCCTACCTGCTACGGTGTCAGAGATATATGGTCACCTGTCTTTTGTAGCTACGTTCGGCGGCCAAATTAGTTCGGGATTTTAATTATTTACATTCTGACTTTTGAAATTCCGTGTTTTGTTGCGTTTTCCTCGTGTCGTGGCCTCGATTCCTTCCGCTATCAATGTTGCATGGCCCATTGTAGCCACTGTAGTCGCTGTTGATGTTGTGTGTTGGCTATTGTTACCGTAGTTAGTACATTCCGTGCTCCAGTTAGCATTCTGCCGGCTCTGCTGTGAACAGGCCAGCCATTCGTTTAATGAATTTTCTGGCAGCGCTCTCAGTTGTAATTTGAAGCTCGTTTGTTGCGCTTGCTCTTGTTTGGGACTGAACTTGAAATTACTTTGCATACATATTATTCTGCTATTCTCTGAATCCCTCAAACCAAACCTATGTATATGAGGTAAGCGGAATGTGGAGGCGTGTCCCTGATTGCCGGCAAATCAAAATCAACGAACGGAAAACGAGGCACATTCTAATTGACTTAAATAAAAAAGGAATAAATCAAATGACGTGAACCAAATATTTGAACGATTTCTAAAAATACAAATATATATTATTCTACTTCTTTAAAATATCTAGTCAGACTATTAATGTAAGTTGTTTTTTTGTTTATTCACAAAATTGAGTTTTATGTAGATAAAAAAAATGGTACCTTGCCCAAATGTCAGCACCACCACCGATCTTTATAAATTTGTAATTAAATAGTTTAGTTTAGTTTACTAAAACACAATTGCATATCCACTTCTTCGTTTCTATTTTATTTTACCAATAAAGCGGTAGGTTCATGTCCGTTGTCCCCTTGCTTTATTCCGCCGAGCTGCCCTTGAACTTATACTGAAGCGTGGCGACAACAAAGGCGTCCATTCCCGTTCAGCTTTCACACGTCGCACTTTCATTAGTTTTCGCACATTTATTACATATATATGTATATATAACCTAACAGGCACTTAGTTAACCCAATTTTGATGTGACACGCAACAGAATTCGATGAATTGGCCTAGTAAATAGACTCAAAGAAATGGCCGGAAAATGTACAGTGGGTCGTTTAGGGAGGGTGGATATAATAAATATTTTGAAAGGTTACCAAAGTCTATTCAAACTCTGTCAGATGTATCTACAAAAATAACACAAATAAAACAAATAAATTGAATTTTTTTTCTATAACCTCGATAATAATGGATTTTTTCATTTTAAATCCGATATTTTTCGATAATTTTGATTTCAATATATATATTGATTTCAATATATATATTTTAATTTTAATATACACTATTTTTGGTATGATATTGAGCGCGGTAAATTTCCTGGGTATCAGAGATGGAGACCTTATTTCGATCGATAACTGCCAGTTAATAATAAGCAATGCATCGCATAGCATAAATAGCATAATTTTTTGGACTCTTTATTAACTTTATCAAAATAATGAACAAATTCAGTAATTATCCACTGTTCTTAGCCCTACTATCGGATCATAAAACAAATAGAGGACTTGCCGCATTTCCCATACCTGAGATGAGCTGCGTGACCATGGAGCTAAGCTGGCTCCTTGCCATTTGCTCCTCCACTTGCCCGTCTTATTTGCAGTCTTTATTTTGATAGTTTCCTTGACCTGAATCGCTGGTCTGTTATGGCTTTTTTAACATTCGTTGTAAGACTATTATTAATCTTTGTTCACAATCTCTCGGTTAATTGCACATAATTAGGAAGGGCTCGAACAGCTATTGAAATGTCCCTGCACTTCAATCCAGGCACTCAACTTAAATTATGAAAACGTTAAGACGTACTTTAATTAAGGTGCACATCATCATGGCTAGTATAGAGTGAAGCGTAATGCATGCAGGCAACGTGCCGAATGGTGGAACAGCTGGGCCTTGTTGATAAATTGGCGTTGCAAAACGTCTCAGCCCAATGCTAAAGGCGCCTCCTGGCTTTGGGAACGGTGCTCGTCCTTTATATTATTATATTTCTTACCCCTTATATACCGAAGGGAGGCATATAAGAAGGAAGGCAAAATTGAATAAACTAGTTTTTCATATTTTATTTTCAGAAACTTAAATATAGTATTAAATACTAAACCTAGTTCATTTAATGAGTATCAGCTGTGCGGGATTTTAACCTTGAATCAATTAAAGGGCAAGAAGAAGCCCATTCAGGACATAGAAGATAGGAAACAAAATATTTAAATCTATATCATTGTCTTTAATTTTTTTCAAAGAAGATCTTAGGACCTTATCCTCCACGAGGATATTTACTATTAAATACTGGGTATCGACTCAGTCGAACTCATCTCCCCATATATTTGTGTGGATTTGTATATAATTTTGTTGATGCCATCGGTGCACGCGATCTGCGACGTCGCGTCGACGGCATACAAAATTATGTGCAAAAATGGCAGTAGGCATTGTGGAGTGTTTGGCGGAGCAGCTCCTGCTTCTCCTTGTGCTGCTCGAAGAGCTGGTGCTGCTGACCCCAAAAAGCGAAGTCTGGATAATTTGTTGCCCTCACCTCCCCGCCTATATGTGAAAATGTATACGAGCTTCTTGATGGTGGTTAGTAGTGTCGCCGTACGGAACACGAGAGTTGGAAAAAGAAAGATCGCGATAAGGAATATATAATAAATACATACAACAACTCTCTTTCGCACGCAGGATGATATGGAGCAATGGGTTACGGACACATTTTACTCCTACTTTCCCGGCTTTAACAATGAAAATCAGAAGCGGCAAAATTATTTGCGTGAGCGACAGCGCGAGAACCAGCAGAATTTTCTCAAGCACCAGGCAAGTGTCCGGAGATTACCATAAAAATATTTATTCGAACTATGTGCTAGGCGCTCGTTAAGCGCTTAGCAGTGTGAAATTTATGAGCTGCCAAATAATTGTTTGCCTTTGTTCCAGATGCTCCATCCGCCAGTCACCAACAAGCATCAACGACCGGGTCACGTAAAGAAGACGTCACAACCTGCTCCAGCTCCTGCCCCCGAGAAACCCCGTTCCTCCAGCCAATCTAGCACAAGCATATCCAACCAGAGCACAACTGATAAGACTGACCTAGAGTTAATTGTAAATAGTAATCCCAATTATGTGCCGCCTAAAATTCGGCCGGGCACAACACGTCATAAGCTCCTCCAGGATCTTGGCCATGTGGAGCTTTCTAATATTGTAACTGGGGATGGCATTATGGAACGCAATCTACGTAGTGCTGAGCTGGAAACAGCTCGCAAAAAGGATTACCAGCGAGATCTTATGCAGCAAATTGAGGATAAGCGTCGTTCCATCGAGCTCTTAAGAGAAAAGGAGCGCCGACAAGAAGAGGCCTTGACCAGGTATATACCATTTGTTAAACACAACTGTTTAGATTATTTATTTATTAATCTCGTTCAGACGTCTGGAAGCACAACTCAAGACAATAAAGTTGGAGGAGCAGTTGGAAAGGGAACGTCTGCGCGCTGAAAAGGTAAAATCAACTATTTAATTTTGTTATTTTACATGATTTTGATTTTATGGTCAATATGAAATATTATCCGAGTTCTGTATTTAAACTTATGCTTATCTGGTTTAAGTTTGCAACGCAGTGAAGGAGTCATCTCCGACCATATAATGTATATATATTCTTGATCAGCATCAATAGTAGAGTCGATCTAGCCATGTCCGTTTCTATGCAAACTTGTCTCTCAGTTTGGAAGCTTAGTTTTGCAGTAGGTTTTCTATATACTTCCGCTCGTGTAGAAGTCGGACGACTATATCATATAGCTGTCATAAAACGATTGGAATATTTTTAGAAAATATTTAAAACTTATTTATTTTTCAACATAATTTCATAAAATGTATGATTTGGGTATTATATTTTTTAAATATAGGTGACTGTTCCTTTTTTTTTAAATATTTATTATTTATTTATTAACTTTTAATGATCGAATTCAATCTGCAAGGGTATACAAACTTTGGCGAGCCGAACTTAACTTCCTTATTTGTTTCTTTTTGAATTATTCCAAAAATTGGTAAAAAATAATTAAAAAGTTATAAAATAGAAAGATGAAAAAATTTGACTCCAGGCTCAAGAGAAATTAAGACCAATGTAGAAACAAGATGCGTCATTTTATACGATTGTTAGGCAGAATTTTTGAGAGCCGACGTCGCAATTTTAATCTACGCCCGTTGTGCATTATGAAGATTACATTTTTCATTGATCCTATGTTTCTAACAAACCGCAGAACTACATAATAATAAAAATGCGGGCAGGACGTCTATTGTGAACCTTGGGCTTATTTATATTACTAGATATTGAATATGTAACAAAAACGGCAATAAGACTTAATTGTTATTGATTTGAATTACTATAACATAACCAGTAGATGCTATCGACGTACAAACCGCTCGCCAACGAAAATGTAATGTAATTGATAGGACTATTTTGGTCTTTACCTATTAACCAACTAATGAAAGATAATTGCAAATGTCCTTCGGCTAAGTAATTGTGCTAATCTTTTATACATTTTCTCACTATACTCACAGGCACGCTTTGACTCGGAACAGAACCGCTTGATGCGCGAACAGTTGCTGACCAAACTGGAACAGGATGCCCAGTTGCTGCAGGACAAGGGCAGAGGAACAACCAACAACTTAGCCGAAACAAGCAATAACGCCAACAAAGTGTATAAGTACTTCAGTAACTCGGCTCACCACGAGTACAGACGTGGCCAGCCGTTGCCGGCGGCCGTTGATCTCGAGTTTGAGGTGCCTCAAATGGCCAAGATTGAGCGCGAGTGCTTCCATTTGTGCGAGAAGATCTGTCCGCTTTGCGACGAGCCGCTAAAGAACTACGAAAGCTGTTGTCTGCGATGCCAACGTAAGATGGCGTTAAAGCTGAAGCAAAGTGAACCGAACCGGAGGGATGCCACCAAAGAAGAAAAACAGGCCGAAGGCGACTCCGAGGAGGGAAAGCACCAGGAAGATGATCGCGAGGATGACGACCCCAACGAACACAATTGCCAGAGCAGTTATGCCTTGGTGTGCCACAAATGCGAGCGCCTTTATGCCATGTGTGGGGATTGCTTGGCCAAAAGCGATGTTTGTCGCGCGTGTCAGCGAGAGCGGAATGTCTGCATGAACTGTCGTCGAAATCTGTGCTCCTTTTGCCTAGAAGAGATCGCTTGCGGTAGGGACACGGAACGCACTCATGTCAATGAAAAAATCGAAACCCGTAGGGCGGATGCTTCTTCGGACAATGCTTTTGAAGTCTTGGAACTGAACTATTCAGTGCCGCCAGCTAATGACTCTACCGATGCAGTCTCGCCCCCGTACTCTATTAATATTGCACGTAATTCGATTTTCCATGAGGATCACAAGGACACGCCATTCAAGGCCAATATCATTGATCAGCTTCCGGCAGCAGCCTCGGGTAGTGCCAACACCAGCTTCGAACTGGACAGTGCCGACGAACAATCCATGGAGCGAGTGCGACGACAAACAGATCAGCGCTTGTCACGCTACCTCCGGAACTATGGTGATCTTGCCACCAAGCAGCAGCAAAAACAGATGGAGTTGCAACGAAGCAAGAGCGATTCGCGTCACCGGGGCACTCAGACAACGCCACAGTCGTTAGCCAGAAGGGATGTGGTATTGAGGGAGGCGGCGGGTCACAATTTGTCAATGCCCCTGCTGCGCGAGATGCCAAAAATGACGCGCACCGAAACGACGTTTGCTACGAAAACAGAGAATGGCCAACGAAAGATGGACAACCTTAAAAAGCGCTGGGAGGTATGTAATTACTTCATTATTAGTATTGGAAGATCAACAAAATTTACATTTGTTTTACTATCTATTCACAGGTACCCGCCGTGCAGAAGTTCACCGTTTCTACATCATCGCCTAAAATCCTAACCCAGGTGGGAGCCATCCGGAAACAATTACAGGCGGCGAGATTCTTTGATGATGTAAACGTTGATCCGGACGATTATTGAAACTCAACGACATGTTTTACTATAAAAGCAAAATATGTTTGTGCGGATTTTATAATTTCAACCATTATTCCATCCAAGCAATAACGAATTTAATTCTCCACGAAGTCTTCTTCATTTAACTCGAATTTTGTTTTGTAAAAAAACTTACATGGAGTTACAGCTTTACAATAAGCTGATCCCTAGTGCTTCTACTTTATTCCATAAGCTTTAAAGTTTGTTAACGTTTCTGTTCTTATTTCTTTATGGACACATTAAAGTTTCAATTGAAAGAATATAAAAACAAACGCGCCACTCTATTTGATTAAGTTTCTAAACATTTAAATAAATAAAAAAAGATTGAGAATCGTAAATAAATCTTATTTGTCTCTTTTTTTGGGTGAAAAAGTAATACTTTATTTTAAAAGCCGGAAACTACTTCATTGTTCTTTAATAATAATATATTCGGGATTTCGATTTTCAAATCGAAATTGGCCGAAAAAATTAAAATTATATTGCACGAATGCGAATCTTTGCTACCTATAAACCCAAAACACATCAGAAAATGAAAACCAACGAATTGTTATGCTTTAACATAAATTATATTTTGCAGATCGTTTCAATTGTCGTTTTATGGATCGGTTGTCATGTGGTTTCATGGATTATATTACCACTGGCGGGCGATGACGGGGGCGTACTGCGAGTAGGCGCCGGCGGATCCGTAGCTCGGGGCTGGAGCACTGCATGGGACTGGGGCCAGGTTGGGCTGGCAGCTGAAGAGGTAGTTTTTGGGGCAGGGCGGGGCCGGGATGGAGACCGGAGCGGGGGCGGCGTAGGAAGCAGGAGCGGGAGCGGCGTATGCGGCAGGAGCTGGGGCGGAGTAAGCTGCAGGAGCGGCACCTCCGTAGGATGAGCCGAGCATCTTATCCTCCTTGTCGGCAGCAACAACGGCCAGCAGGCAGGCGACGGCGATGATAGCAATGCACTTCATGTTGAGATGAGGTTGTTGATGTCTTAGACTGGCTTGAGAACAGACTGCGATGTCTCTGGCTTCGCAACTCCGGCTTTATATACTCTGAAGCACTGCAGCCAAAAATGTCGAGCCAGCACTGACCAAGTTTTCGGTCTCGAAGTCAATGTGTAGGGGGCTTTTTTGCATGGCCAACAGAAATGGAAAAGACCAAACATTTCCTCTACTCTTTTTTGGGCCACTGAACTTGTTGAGTAAACGAATTGTCGTTGGCCAAATCTTTACAAAGAAAATGCTAACTAATAAAAAAGAAAACGGAAACAAGTTTTCACTGATCTTTATTAAAAAGAGAAGCTATTTAGATATTGGTATGTAGTAATAACCTAAATTGGAGATTTCTTTCCATTTAAATATCTTACAATGTCAAAAGATGAGGAGTAATATTAGGTGAAACTTGTGAATATATATGTACATATATGTATATATAACAACATTGTTATTAAAATAACGCACAGCTCTTCATTATCTTCTAATATTCTATTAGATTCAAATGTAGCGATCTGTTGATCTCGTTTTGAGCTGTTAATATATTTAGGCGAATAATATATTCTAACAAAATCGAATGCATTAATATCTTAAGCCACAATTTTAGATTTTGTTACATTTTCGGTAATATTTGCATTATTTTATATGGGCTCGCCACTTTTATACAATTTTAAATTTACAAATATAAATGACAAACTTAAAAGTAAATTTTTTTTAAATTGTATACGATTTATTAAGATTATATGTATTAAAACAAAATATTTTTGTTCTGTTACTGTAGAGTAGTAACAGTAGTAACAATAATATAGAAAATATTTCAGAGGAATACTATAAATGCGTTTTTCCGCGTTACAAAGTGGTTAAGTTAATTTTATTTCCTAGTGTTAGATTGTTCTCCAAGGATGATACTTTGGGTGATACTAGCTTTCCCTTCAAGAGCACTCTTGACCATCCTAGTGTGCGTCACAAAGGTTACGCGGGTGTTGAGCGTGATTCCAAAGTATTTGTCTTTACAGTGGCACTTTTAGCCGAATTGATCCCGATGTTCCATCGGCAGTTTCAATTTTCAAAGCATTACAGGTATATCTGTAGTTTGTCCGTGGCATCACAAGCACAGTAAGCTCCGCTAAAAACCCCTGTACCATCAGCAAAAGTGGGAAGCAATAGATATTTTGGGTCTGCTGTGGGGACTTTGCGGCACACCAACCTCGAGTGGTCTACGTATAGAGAGGGCTGAGATTAGGAGAAACAAAGGAACTTATACTGTCTTTAAAAATATGTCAAAAAGATTATTCTATGTAGTTTGTATCGTGAACTAAATTATATTGTCAAAAGGTTGGAATTTGCATTAAGCTTATTAAAATGGAGTGCGCTGCGCGTTTCTTGCTCAGCGTGTGTCGGCATCACGTAAAATACCGACGTCTTCATATTCCACCAGCGACAGACTTCGTGGACAAGCCCAAGCCAAGTTTGAATTTGGGGGACAAAGTGGATTACTCCAGAGACTTGATAAAACGGGCAATGACCCTGTATAAGCCCAATGAGCTTATGCTGTGCTTTAATGGCGGCAAGGATTGCACCGTGCTGCTCGATATATTGGCCAAAATAAAGCCACCTTCTATGACTCTGCGAGCTGTGTACGTAAGGCCCGCGGATCCCTTTGAAGAGTTGGAACAGTTCATCGATTGCTGTGCCCAGCGGTATGGAGTGAAGCTGCAGCGACTCGAAGGTGTAATGAAGCTGGCCTTCAAGCAGTTGGTGCAAGAGGATCCCCAGGTGCGGGCCATGTTCCTTGGTTGCCGGCGTACTGATCCCGGCTGCGGGGTGGTGCCGGAGATGCTGCCATGTGACAACGGCTGGCCGGCGCTCATGCGAATCTTCCCGCTGCTGGAGTGGAGCTATCACGATATCTGGAGCTATTTGCGAGTCAACGATGTGCCATACTGCTGCTTGTACGATCGGGGCTATACATCTCTCGGGGATCGCTCCTCCACCGACTTTAATTCAAGCCTGCTGACCTATGACCAGAAGCAGGGCAAGGGCAAGCTGGTCTTTCGGGCAGCCTATGAGCTAGAGGACCCTAGCAAAGAGCGGGCCAGTAGGAATGATGGGTGGAGCCATGATCAGAAGGCTGTTGAAGAGTCCAAGTAATGGGCAGCACCTGGTCATTGAGCTCAAGCCAAAAGTGTTTGCTTGCATTGCTCTTGACATGATTTGTATCAATTCATTTTTTGTGTTGTACTCAATGTGGGCCAACATGGAGCAGCAAGTGTCAGCTAACTAGGTTCTTGGGCAAGACCCCATTCCACTGTTCGAAGATTTGGCAACCTAAGCAGCCCAGTTTAACCGTTAATGTTCTTCGAGTATAAGAGAAGTTTAGGGTGAAGGCTTGGCTGTAAAAGCTCTTTCGAAACAAAAGCTAAGAAGGAGCTTACATCCACTAAAGTTTTCTAAAAAGAGGAATATTTTATCTTTGTCTCTGCTAATTAAAAATTTTAAATTAAATAAGTCTCTATGGAATTTAAGATATCAATCTTAAAATTGCTTTGAGTTTACGATTAAAAAAATGTATTCTTCCAAAAGTTGAAATTCAGAAGCAAAAAATAAATTTATTAAGTACGCAAATAAGCAAAACAATTTTAATTGTCTTACCAAATATCTGTCAGTTATTGAAATAAATAAAATAAATTATGCTTATATTTAAATACCAAAAAAATATTTTATCATGATCAAGCACGAGTAACATAAATATATAGTTAATAGAGAGTGGTGAATGTATTGAATGTTCCATTAATTTACTTAATTGAACTAATTAACAAACAGCTATTTTTCAGAATTAACCCACAGGCTCTGTAGATGGCTTAAGACCTTTCACAAAGTACACAAAGCCATCTCTCCTCTTGAGTTCACCTTCGATTGGAGTCGGGCGTGTGGAAGTGGTAGTTCCCTTATCCCCCACCAGCAACAAATGATCGCCTCTGTTGCATAATTTTTTTGGCACCTGCTCCTTACTGCTGCTTTCCAGTCCGTTGTCATTTTGTGCTGACTGTACTTCCAGTGACGGGTACTCCAGAAGATCTCGGTAAGTTTGCCAGAGATTCTGATCTTCGGAACGGTCCAGCCAGTTGAGCAAGTCTTGAATGGTCTTATCGTGCCGGTGGGCCAGCTTCTCATCAAAGGGCGGATGCTTACGAGTGGCGAACTGGGCCCTGTAAGCTGTGTTGTTAGCCTTTGGGGTGAGACTAACGCGGTACCAGTGCTGATCCTTTGGGTCCTGACCCAACAGAGAGTACTCGAAGACCGAAGTTGCCGAGGTTGTCTCCTCTGTCCGCAGTCTGGGGTATTTATCGCTTGTCATATTGCTCTTACTGCTAGGTCCTGGTGGACCTAGTCTACTAAAAAAACAAACGGTGACTTTTATATACTTAAAGCCTGATAATGCAAATATTTACCCCAATTGGTTGTATCTGGGCATCTCGGGCGGCATGGCAGTTCCACCGCATGCCATCATTAGACATAAAATAAGAATGATATCCATCTTGGGGGATGTGTTCCACATTTCCATTTTCGCAGAGTGCGACAATATTGTCGACTTTGCTGGGTTATATAGTGCACCAATAAGTTCATGCTTTTGCATCGAGATTCTTTTCAGTCTCCGGGGCTTCAAGTTCGCTGTAAAAAATGCCGTGTAAATGAAGCTATAATTGCTTTGAGTCGCCAAACGGAAATACTCAGATAGCTAATGCTTGTGATAGACGTCACGTTTATGGTTCACATTACAATCATTTCGACAGGGAAATATTTGTAATATATTGGAATAAGGTCTTAGTCATAAAACTGATAGACATTCAATTTTGGGAAAATTGATATTGGTTTTATCCGTATTCTAAGGAAAAACCAACAATAAACTTGTATGTGCACATATAAATGGAAAGAATATTGGATAAAATTACAAATCTTTTAATTAGATCAAAGTTAATTTTATTTACAAACATTTGGAACACTGAAATTTACAATAGCCCTAGATACATATAGATAGATAATAGATTTAAATTCTTTTTTGATTAAATAAATATACTTTATTCGATCGAATCGATTAAGTCCGAATAAATAACTATACTTACTAGAGGTGTATAAAAACAGTTTTATTTAAATTTACTTTTAACTTTATCTGATTTTGACTTTCAGATAAAGAGTATACATACATTTTAAAAATAAAAAATAGATAAGAGTCAATAGTCAATTGGAAAACTCACTTCCGGTGCGTTCCCTGTATTTCCGCTCTCGCGCTCTCTTTATCTCATCTCGGTTACTGTGCCAACAGCTGTGACGGCATTGCCAGCACAGAAGGATTTGTATTATCAGTGAAATTGGCGACCTTTCCAATGTGGGCAACTTTGAAGGATGGTAATCAACAAGAATACTTTCACTTTAACATCTGTCCCACCCGCACCCGCACCCGCACCTGCAGCCGAGCACGGATTCGGCATCCTTCGGCGAGCGTGCGCCCGAGAGTCAACTTTCTCCTGCTCTCGTCAGCGCTCTCTCGCTCCGTTTCCGTTCCTCTCTCGGCAGCAGCAGCTGAGACGGCACAGCTGTTGTGTCGCCTTCGCCATAGGCATTTTGCGCGCGCACTTTCCTAAAACAAAAGGAAAGAGGAAGATGGAAGCACGAAACGCATATCACACATACGCACGGTGGTACGGCGAAGGCGAGCTCTGGTTCGACAGGACTCGGACAAGTTTTGCACACTCAGTAGACAATCTTTCCTTATTTCGTTAACACACTCACAGCACCTTTAACCGAACCAATAATATACAGCAGAAATTCCTCTAAAGCCACCAACAGCAACAGTAGCTACATTACATATATTAAAAAAAAGCAACAAAAAATTTAACTATGTGTACATAGGCATAAACATTTTCAAAATAAAACAAGAAACACTTTAAAGAGCATGGCTAAATTCGTGTTAATCTGCTTGTTTTTTCATGTAAAAAAACTGAAGAACTAAATGTAATCAACAAACATAAATTAAAATTCAATGTCAACGTGCGTGTTAGTGCTAGTGCCACCTCTCGACCGGACCGACTCCTTCGTCCTCGTCTTGTTGCTTTGGCTTTCGTCGCTCGAACTTTAACCGAAAGTACGTAAAAAATGTATCTCTTATCAGGCAGCTTCGTTTATGCGTGTCCTTTAATGGCAAACAGCCAGGAATTGCCTGATAAAATACTTTCATTTGAAACGCGGCCAAATTGGCTGTCTTTACTTTCTGCATCCTGTTTTATTTGGACTCGATTCGTTGAATAAGTTGTCCTTTATCAGTTGAGAAGTATCAGCCGTGGGTTACACGAGTAGTTTATGTGCAGAGAGTAATTGCAGTGTCCGGTGCCTGATAATAATCATTTATTCTTATTGGAAGGCAATCGTTATTATAATTGATGGGTTGCTATCTCTTACCGTAGGTAGGGAAAATAGTTTTACTCAAGTTTCGCGAAAATAAAAGAAATGTAATTTGTGGAGAAATTGCTGGAATTTATTTACAGCAATAACATAATGCTGCTATCAAAGTCGGAGTTTCATTAGCTTTTTTTATTACTTCTATAGATTAGAGTATATTCATAGAGTGGCAAATATTAAACACATTTAAAATAATTTGAAATATGTAGGAGTAGGCCCAAAGTACGTGTGGGTACATAATACAGCTGCTCTTCGAAGTTGTTTGTAAAAAGTTTTTCCATTATTCGATATTATCTATTACTTTAATTTAATTAAACTTAATTCGACTCGTCCATTTGTTGGTTTGTTCGTTGCCTGCGTGTTCAAGTGCCGTGTAAAGTAATTTACCAAACCCACAAACTTTTCGTGGCCGCTTAATTTTTAGCGCAAAACAAATAAGCAATTGCCAAGCAGGAACAAAAAAACTGCGGATCGAAAGTCCTTCAGAAATAGCTGAGCCGAGTAGAGAGTTTCAGTCAGGTTATTTAAGCGAAAGAAAAAGTTTTCAGCCTGCCCATTACTTTCACTTTTTCTCCCTCCCTTTTCACGCTGCTGCAATATTTTGCCAGCTACAGCTCGTGCTTTCGCTGTTGTCTATGTGAGCTCGGGGCTTCACCTTAGGTGTGTCTACGGGTTTTTAGGTGTGTGTGCATGTGTATATACATACATACATACATACATACATACATATATGGAAGAGTGTGTACTTCAATTCGTCCTTCAATAATTCTACTGTTAGATTTTCTTCATCAAATGCTCTTTAAAAGACTTTTAAATTCAAAAATTATACTCCTGAAAATTGTCACTAGTTTAATCAAAATTTTCCTTATTATGTTACAAAAAAATAATTTAGTCAAGTCATGCAGGGAACGTACTCACTCTAATATTGTATATAAAATGCAAATAAAAAACAAATTTTGGTTGTTGCAGTTTTTGGAATATTTTTTCGAAATGTTTTAAAATTTCTTATATCTCAAACAGCTTAAAATTAGAGTGTTAATATTTCTTTTGGCAATTTTGATTCAAAATGAAGGCAGCAATCGATTAAGTTTTATTTTATTAGAGCTATCACAAATTCAGTAATAATAATTATCAGGTTTATTTATAACAACCTTAATTAACACTCCTAAAACTATACTCCAATAATACATTTCTCGGCTATCCGAAGTTTGCAATTTTTTTAAAATAGACAACTTTGTAAGACGGTCTTTGTATTTTAATTTTCCTCTTGATTAAACTTAAACTCTTGATAAATCTAGTCAAAAGCTATTTCTTTAACTAAAATATTAAAATAAAATAAACTGAGATATCGAGACGCCGAATACCTGTTTAGTTTGCATTAAAATCGTTTCATTTCGGTCAAATTATATGTTTATTTCCCTAGGCTTTTAGAAAAATTTGTCGGTTCTATAAAATATATATAATTCAATAATTAGTTTTTGGTATATTTAAAGCATGTGTTTTTTAATTCGAAAAAATAACAATATTTCTGGGCTTATACATAGATTTAAATTTATATTTTCCATATATATATATATTCTTACATTTGCATATACATTTGTCGATCGTGCTCATTGTATATCGTCCGATAATAATAATAATAACAACAATATTTTTAAATCATTGTATATCGCCCGATATAGATAATGTTAAGAACATTATTTTTAAATCGAAATTATAACTATATCATCATTTATATGCAAACATGTTGGAAAATAACGAAGTCATTTAAATTTTTATATTACTTTTCTAATAATTTTTCGATCTTTCACATGACATCTTTATGATATTTATGATCATCCGATTTTCATAAAATAAAATACCAAAATTCAATAAAAAAAAATTACAATACATAAGAATAAATAAAAATATTATGAAAAATAACGAATTTTTTTTTATAAATTTTCCGATTGTTACCATTTTCATAAGATACAGTTGTTCGATTTGCTCGGTCAGTTTTATTCGGATTTCATTCAGATAGCTCCAATATTGAGACTAGTTCCTTTAGGATCGAATAAATCATCTTGGCTAGAACCAATTGGCTGTTAAAATGTTAAAATGATGCCACTACTATTATATTGTTTTTCCCGCTAAACTTACTTATTTTAAGTAAAATAATAAAAAAGTTACATTTTGAACGAAAAAGGTTACTGAAATCTGATATAACATATCCCTTAGAAAAAGTCATATAAAAATATAATCAAGAAGAATTCACCGGCTTTTTAGAAGATCATTATGTCATTTCCCTTACAAACGGTTTTTGAGAAATGCGTAGTATGATGTTTCAAAAAGTTGTACAATTTGAGTATAACTTCTAAATATATCGCCGATATACGTATTTAGCTGTAGAATGAACTACTCAACATTGTCTGCACTTTAAACAAAAAAGGCAGTCGCAAGCAATTAATTTAATCTTTGTAATATGTATATATAATATAATATAATTATTATAAGATACGTTATTTAGGCGATATTTTCAGCGACGACGTGGTCGCAAAATTACAAAATATATCGAATGTGCAGTTTGAATGGAACAGCTGTTTCCAGCTGCCGTTATTATTATTTATTTAGTAATTTAGCGGTATGGGGAACAGCGCAAATATCTTTTGATAATGGTATAAATGGTTCAGATTGGATATATGTATGCAATAGTTGCCTATTCATCGTCACTACGTGCACGGCCATTCACAGAAATAATAACCAAAAACAAGAAAGGAAGCTAACTTCGGCACGCCGAAGTTTATATACCCTTGCAGATAGAAATTCTATGACTAGGAATCCATACCATATAAATTATATATATTTGTGTTAAAAAACAATGAAGTAATACCTGCTTTCATTTCATTCACCTATACATATTATATTTGCAGCTTTTCATTCACAGATTTCCATTTTTCTTCTACATCAAACGATAGTTTGTATGGCACCTATATGATATAGTCGTCCGATTTTCATGAAATTTGACACAAAATTTAAGACTAATATAAAATGGCTACACCTCAAATTTGATGAAAATCTGTTGAAAACTGAAAAAGTTATAATTTTTAATTGTATTAATTTCTCGATCGTTCCTATGGGAGCTATATGATATAGTAGTCCGATTTTCATAAATGTTTATACAAAATTGTAGAGTATAGTAAAATGGCTATATCTCAAATTTGATCCAATTCTATTGAAAACTGAAAATGTTAAAATTTTTTTTGTAAAAATTTTCCGATCATTCCTATGGCAGCTATATGATATAGTCGGCCGATCCGGCCCGTTCCGACATATATACGAGTGAGAGTATATAGAAGGCTAACTACAAAGTTTCATTCAGATAGCTTCAAAACTGAGAGACTAGTTTGCGTAGAAACGGACAGACGGACAGACGGACAGACGGACATGGCTAGATTGACTCGGCTGTTGATCCTGATCAAGAATATATATACTTTATATAGTCGGAGGTTCCTCCTTCACTGCGTTGCAAACTTCTGACTGAAATTATAATACCCTGCAAGGGTATAAATATGTATTTTAATTTAAACAACTTGCATTATGATGCATATTGAAATCTGTAAAGATTATTCATTATACATTTGGGACCCGGAAATCTTATAGTTCCTTCCTTTCTTTGTATTTGTGCCATGGCGACCAGTGGCCATTTTGTGATATTATGTGGGTGGGCAAGTGTATGCGTGAGCAGATGATGTGGGGCAAACACACCACACCACCGCCCGTGTGAGGTGAGGTGAGCTGTGGCACTCGTAATAATAAAAATGTCGACCTACTCGGTATGGAGTCGTAAATCGTTGATGTTGCTGCGGCTGGTTGTTGGTAGCTATCGCTGCCGGCTGTTGTTGTTCCTTGCTCCGGCAGCTTGGATTGTAATGAATATAAAACTGCCTTTTAACTGCCTTGGCAACTCCTCCCCATCAGTCGGCAGCCCGGGTTTTTATGCATGTCCGAGGGCATTGCAAATTCCTTTTCCTTTTCCTCAATTGTTTTACGACATCTACCTAGAGGGGCTTTAAGCCAGGCCAGCGGCCACATTCTCCAACGAGAAACTTGTTGAGGCAGAGTGAGGATACACAATTGAATAGGAAAACCTACAAGATTTGGCACGCCATAAACTTTTGTATAATTTTTACCAATTTTTTCGTTCTCTGCTTTGAATAGAAAAGATTTCGATATTTCACTTTTGTAATTTTTTGCTTCGGTTCATGTTTGGCAAGTCGCGTCGTTTTCTTTTGCCAAAGCAACCAGTGTTTTGTGTGAGATAAGCAGCTTGACCGTGGATGTGGAAGTGGAAATGGAAGTGGTGGGATAGAAGCAGCTCCTCGGCTCTCCGCCCGCGGCGCAAGGACTCGGATATACAGGATACAGGCGACGGCACGTACGGGGGCAAGGCGTGCAAGGCGGCATGATAATTTCGTTGAATACCCAAGTCAGCCTCGACTCTGTGCACAAATAAGGGGCAAGAGGAAGTGGAGGAGCAGAGGTCGCTTAGTTTTCAGTTGATATGCAAAACAGTTTTGTATATCTTAAGCAAAATCGCAGCTAGAGCGAACCAGTTCCTATATGCATTGACAGATTGGGAAAAGATAGAGATATCGGTCAACCCACACACGTTCTAGCTTTCAAGTTTTAAAGATTATTACATTTTGTCAACAAGACAGCAAACTACTTTAACTTTGCCACCAAAATTCTTTAAATTTATCTGCAATATTTGTTGTGAATCATCTTCATCTTGCTCAAATAGATTCTTTATGATATTTCTTAACACACGGTTTTTCTTACGCTTCCTGTTTACGTGTTGTAGAATATAAATAAGGATATAAAGGGAAATAAGATATCCATCTAGCTACAGATTAATCTAAGCTATGGTTTTTTTATTCGGAATTTGTAAATGAGGGATATGTAAATATTTTTTTTTCGAGAAAGAGATTAGTTTCCCCTCAGCAAGGCCGAACCATTTTGGACATTTATTTGGGAGCTATTATAGACTCATTGACAGACAGTAAGCTGAGAGCACCAAATTAGTCAACTTGATGGGCCATACATCTTGAGTATATATATATTTATATGTACGTTATGCCAAGCAAGACTATAACTTTTGGCTTTAATGAGAGTGGCCAATGCCAAAGCCAAAGGCCAACGTGAATTTATTTCAAAGTCGGTTGGTGGGCGTGCGAGTCGCGCAAGGATATGGCTAAGGAGCAGCCACACATGGGTGTGTGTGTGTGTGGGCTAGAGCATGTCGGAGTGTTTTGGCCCGGCCAACGCCTGGATGTCAGCGTCAGGCGAAATCTTTAGAACTGCCTTGAAGTCGCTTGCTGCCAACGATTTTTTTTTCTTTTTTCGACAACCAGCACCAAAAGTTCAAGCTAAGTGCACTGGGCAATAGCAACAGTAAACACGCAGCTGAAAAACATGGACATGGTCGAGCCCAACGGCAATCGACGCCTCTGGCCATTCATATATATATGTACTTGCGTCCCAACTGTTGTTGCCTGCCACAGTTGTTGTTATAAACAAGCCAAGAACTGGCCAACTTGGCAGCTCTCTGGACGCTCCTGCGCGCGCATTTCCACAGAGAGTTGGAGAGCCCACAGAGAGAGAGAGAGAGAGAGTTGTCTTCCCACAGGAACGCAGGAGGACGCAGCTGCTTGGCATCCAGTGGCCAGGCCACCGAGGTCCTTTAGTATACAAAACGGCAGCGAGCGAGGCGTTCGTCACACGGCCAAGAGCCCAGAGCGGTGGTACAGCAACGGTATCACAGCGTCAAAAAGTTCGCGTCAAATGAGGTGAAAGTGAGTGAAAGTTGCAAACTTGTGCAAAATTATCCCCAGCCCCCCGGCCTTTGCCCAGGTGGCCGCACGTGGCATACATATGTGTGATATTTCCCAATGAGATTGAATTAAACGCGTTTGCCTCCGTTAAAGCCAAAGACTCCCTGGAGCATCCTCACTCCTGGCCATAACAAACTTTTATGCCACTCCATACTGTTCTGTAGATTGAAAAGGACGCGTGATTAAGTTAGCTGTTTGGGTAACACAGAAGGTTTATGGCAGGCTTGGCGACATTTTAAAAGTATTCAGTCGGAAAACCTATTTCAACAGGTGTACAGACAAAGAGTATACTATAGTTTTGTGACCACAAAAGAGACAGCAGCAGGAACTGTAGCTCATTATTTTGGGAGACTTTTTCAAGTTGTATAACTAATAGTCCTAATTGCAGTAATATACAGACTTAAAATGTAGTTCCACTTCATTTTTCTTAACGAGAGCAGGGTGTCTTCTCAATGGGGTTTCCTTCTGGTCTCCCTCCTCCGAGGGTAATAATCGCGCTCTCCTTCGGTTTGAGTGGGTCCTTCCGTTTTATGTTTATTACCTCTTAGATTTTTCGGACAGCAAATGTTTGACCAACTTTAACCAAAGTTCTCATTTGGTCTTTTTACATATTTTATGGAAATTGCCTTCATGAAGGAAGAGCTACAGGCAAACTTTCGCGACCATGAAAACCTTTGACTTTGATAACAAAGAGCGCGTATATGTAATCTACGAAATGAAATCAGCACAAGGAGAGGACATTGTAAAACTGTAAAACCGTAATCAAAGAAGTTTGAACAATAATTTAACTCAAAGCAAAGGTCAGCTAGAGAAAATGTGCATAAAAAATTGCGGCGACATCAAATTCCGGAAAAGCAAAGGTGAAGAAATCGGCAATGACGCTGGAAAGAATAACGTCATCCACGCATCGTCCTCCGACTTTGAATATATTAAACTTCAGCTACAGTTGCAGTCCAAGCTCAACAAGCCAAGGCAAAAAGGATCGAAATTGCCCAACTTCAGGATTATTATGTGTTGTTGCTACTTAATTATCATGGTCCTGATAATTTAAAAAGGTACGCAAACTCATTTAAAATCAAATAACATTATTTTGTGTGGTTCAAGAGATGCAAATCGTTTCGTTTCTTTACTGCTCTATTATTATCAGAAAACTCAAATATAATATTATAGTTTGCAAATGACGGCCTTTGAGAATTGTACTGCCATTCTGCTGAATTACGTTGCATATAAATAAAACCATAAAAAAAATCCTTTTGTATTCAACTATTGAATTATCCTATTAAATCAACCATTTCTGTGGGTAGAAGTACAGCAAAACTGCAGTATATCTAAATTCTCATTGGCCTTGGTGACTGTATAATAGTTTATATCACAGGATGTGTTATATGTGTTTTTATATCGCCTAGTATAATGACAATCAGCTCTACTACCGCAGTACAATAGCTTTACGAATTTCCCGCGTCTTCGCATTTAATTCCCAACTGGTTTTAACATCACAGACATAAAGTAATGGTTGCCGGCTAATTTTTAGATCTGTTTGTGCTACTACAGCATAAGCCAGTCTCTAAAAAAACACTTAAAGAAGCTAAAATTAGCTAAAAAAATTACTATTATTATCCTGTAATACAACTATAAAGCTTTACCGGTTCTATGGTACCCTACTATAATCAATAGTAAAATAGTATAATTTATTTATTTTTTATTTATTTTTTTATTTATTATTATTATTTAATAATTATTTTATTTTACACTGCAGATTTGTGGTGGAATTCACTGTAGACCAATCATAGAACGTAATGCGTTAGGTCGCTTTTAATGACTCTCATAGTTAATTCAGCCATAATTGAAGGTTTGCGCACTTAAACAACAGAAAATTTATACTTTCGTGCTATCATTTTGATTTAATTTTCGAAAAAAGTTTAAAAACATTAGAAAAGAATTGTTTGAGTTATGAACAAACCTTCCATGTACATTAAATAGGATAATATTTAAATTGTTATCAACAAATGATATCCACCTAGATGAATTTAAACTCATAAATCAATGGCATCTAGGCATGTTTAAACTTTTTAAATTAATTGAGTACATTGAACTAATTTTAATAAAGTACAAAGCCTCATTTTGGTCCTTGACCTTTATGGCCAATAGGCAAGGTCCTCTAAAAATAGTTTGCTTTGGTCTTTAGCAGCCATCTTTTCTACTTATCGAATTATATTGTTTGGTGCTTTATGGGCTGTCTGGTTTATTGAAATTAGCGCTAAATTGATTTATACCACAATATGTTACTGCTGTCAATAGACGAATTACGCATACGTTGGGCTCTTTGTTCCTGCCTGGCTTTCTGTTTGTTTGGCTTTTCCCCGCTGATTACTCATACGACGCGTGGCACATTTCATGAAAATTGATTTTACACTGCGACAAAGCCCAAAGTACACACACATTTCCCAGCCATGTGTGCGTTTGAGTACATATATGTACATATGTGTGTTATTTGTTTTGTGATTTTCAATTCACATTGCTGACCTACATTTTCACTTTATGTGGGTGAGGTTTTGGGGTTTTTCTTGTTGTTCGGGCTACAGGTTTCCATAAAAAGAAGAGAAATATGGCCAGTGGTCATAATTTATTTGCCATGCAAATTCGTTTACTGCCAAGAAATTAATTAATACAGAGAACTCAGCCCACATTTTTAACCATTTCGTGTGAATAAATAAACGAGGTTTTAAAGATTGAAAGGAGTCTGATTGTTTTCACAAATAATTAATTGCGATTGGGACTGCAGCAAATGCAGCATGAAAATAATCACCTGTTCACAATAACACTGGCCAGCCAAGCTTTTTGCCATACGCTTACAGCTTACTTCACATTTTGTAGTTAAAAGCAAAGTCACACACTTATTTTACAGACAACCCATCATATTAGACAAATATTAATAAATATTGGTAAAAAAAATTATGTTGTTATTTACTAAAACATAAATATCTATGGGCAATTCTCCAGAAAGGTCCACCATCGCCAAAAACTTAAAATTGCTTAAAAACGAGTATTTTTAACATGGTTACATAAAAAATGGGTCAGATTGATCAAGACTAAGATAATTTTTAATTTTCTAAAATTAATTTTGAAAAAATCTATGTCAAACACGCGTAACGCAAATTGTGTTATTTTTATCAAAAACACACATAAAAAATGTCATGTTTTGTTTTGATGCCAATCTCTTAAACAAAAGCATTTTGCTTTTACTTTTGCTTTCTAATATCACACAGAGAATGTAAAGAGTCAATATAAAGTGGAAAAGGACATACATATGCGATCTCCAATATTCCTACAGTTTTAGTTTGAATTATCGCTTTCCAAAATGTCGCGTGCGACATGTCACGTGCGACCCGGACTAAAATTGAATTTAAAAAATAACTTCTTAATATTTAAAAAACAAACAAAATACATTATTAAGATAATTGATTGCTTAATTATTTAAAACTTATTGTAATACAATTTTTCATCACGTTTCGCTGAAATCAGACCTTAAACTGGTTTCTTGCAAATGTAACTTCTGTTTTGGTCGCGTGCGAATGTAGCACATTTTAGTGAATATCTTGAAAACGAACAAGGGTTCAATATCGATCTAAGCACCAATTATAGTGCCAACCAAGAGCTATACGTTTTAAGTATTGTAAAATTAAAATAAAGTCTTGGCACATGTTTTTTTAGTTTGAATGCGTACGTATGTCGCACTCGACACACGAGAATTGTCTATATCTTATACATTATATTTGATACTCATACAACTCTATAACGTTCCAATTGAGAATGTACGCAACAGGCAGAAATATTCGATATACATAAAGCTTGATGTTCCAAAATTAATTTAGATCCTTGGCAAATTAAAATTTCCAAAAAGTCTTTATTTTTATAGTTTGAGTCTGTTGACGTGTCTTAATTATATATTTGGGAAATAGAAATAGTTAAACTTTGTATTTTTGCATCGAACATAAATTTGATTTTTAATTTCCTTTTCCTTCCTTTTACAGTTTTAATTAAAATGGATAAATTCTTAAAACATTAATATCACAGTGTCAATAGTGTCAAGGGTATAATAAAAAAAGTATATTTCACGTTGACATCTATTATTAATATTTCTCTCGGGCAAGGAGTTCCTTTCGATAAATGCGAAAGAAAGTTATTCCATGTTTAGAGTACCGATATAGGAAATTGTAGCATACTTTTCTGCATGTAAAGCACCAGTTTTGTCTTTGATAGCCAAAAAGTCCTTTGTGATTTTTCAATCCCTTATGCTATGAGCAAGACTACTAAGGACATTCATTTATTTATTTTTTCAAAACAATGTTATTTATCTTAAACCACCCATTTATGTAGTATTTTTACACACACTTCCCTATGAACCGTATAGATATCCATACATCATGATTTATTTGACCAAATGTATGCATATATATGTATACATTCGGTGTGTACAAATGGATTGTTTGTGAGTGAAAGTGAACCCTTTGAGTATCCTTTACCATTCATACAAAGCCAGTGTCTAGCCATTGTGCAATCAAATTGTTCCGTGGGCGGTGCTTTTGGGTTAGCGTCGCTTACGTTTGCATTTACAACCAATTATTTGTGGGAGTTTGTTGGTAATGCTTCTGGGAAGGTCACGGAACGGCTTTTTGGGAAATTAGATAAAGGGTTGTAATGTGATGGGATCCAGCGCGTTTATGTGACTAAAATGTTTATGAGGCCCTGTAACTCGTTCCGAAAGCTAATCTCTCCTTTCCTCTTTCTACTTACAGCTCCGATTGGTGTCTATATAATATAATCCATCTGTTAAATACATACGTGTGTACATGTTAAGAGTGTGTCAGTGTCAGTGAAAGTCGAATATAAATATATAAATGTATAGCTTAAAGTGGTCGAAAGTTCTTAAAAATTTAACGAGCTAACAAGTTCAAAAGAATTTAGCTTAAGTGAATGAGTGTAACCTTTATTTATACAAAAAGAATATAGTTTGTCGCAAAGCTTTCGGCAACCAAACTACCGCTTAAAACACAAAAATATTAACCTGGAATAGCAATGAAATCTACAAATTGAAAAATGTTTAACATATGGTCAACTTTATGAAAATATTACTGACGTGAAGTAAGTAACAATGTCTTTTTTAACTGATTTCCTTTATTGATTGTAGTCTGAATAATTATACATTTTTTTAGGCATTATAAATAATGATATTCCAACGAAAATTGAAGTAAATTAGTTTGCTTTTACATACTGTAAATCTTAAATCGTATAACAAGTAATTTGCTTGTATTATAAATATTTGGTTATACAGCCTCGTTGGAATTAATTTAATTTCAGATCCCTTTAGAATTTTCTTTACTTTCAATAGTTTAATTAATCAATAGTTTCACACGTATGCTCCATTGTAGCCCTGGTAAAGTACTACAACTAGGTCCCGTAGTTATAAAGTTTCTAGGAAGTTGTCGAAATAGATCCAAATATATAATACATAGAACCGGCTTACTAGGCGTATGGGTAATATGGATTAACGCTTATGTGGCACTTTAATCAACTCGACTCATGGCTGAGAATGTTTAACAAATATCAATAATGAATGGGAGAGCAAATTTGTAGAGCATGTTGACAGACATGCGAGAATTGTCCCCAGGGCCTGCCTGGCCAACAGACTGTTTCAAATCGACAATAAAACTCCGGGTCCTGTGATTGTGTGCTTGTATCCGGCACTTTGCCTTTTCCAGCTTGCCACGGTCAATACCAAATACGATTTTAAAGAGGTCCGAGTAATTGTTTTATGGCACTCGAAGGACTCACAAACAAATCAAACTGAAAACACAAAACAACGCAGAGTTAAGTCGCAAGATTTATGTGGATGCCGCCACGATGCGCAGGGCAAGCATAATAAAGCCATAAGGAAGGTGGGGAAAAAAGAGACGCACACTTGGCAATTTGGCTTATCAAAAAGCCAATAAATAATAAGCCAAAGAGCTCGTTGCACGGTACATGAAAAGTAGATCAAGATTACGGGGGAGA